AACTCCCCAGGGTTTGCACAGAGTCTTGAATTCTTAAAAAGTCTGGAAAATATAGATAAAGTCTGGGAAAATGGTAAAAAGTCTAGCTTGAGCTACCTTATTCTCACTTAATTTGGCATGTATTAAATTTTGCGAAAAATCATGAGCCATATTTCGCGAGTATTTAATTTCGCGATTTTTCAGGGAAAGGTATAATTGGAGTGTATCAAATTTCGCGTTTTTTCTATTCTTTAATAACTTTGACGTCAGAACAGTGACAACAGAATTAATAATTTAATCGTAAACAACAGCAAGGATGAAAAAAGATGGAACAAAACAGATGGAAAGTTTGACGACTGCATTAGCGGGATTTTGAAGAATTTAGCAGCAGAGGACAGTTCGAACAGCCAGATTGATGCGGCAGAAGGCTGATGGACAAAATCAAACAAAAAACTCCTAAACTTGAAACTGAGACATGTTGGAATATTATTAATAACTAATAAAGAAAAAGCTTGAATTTCGTTATTTTATGGATTAAGTGAGAATAAGGTAATAAGCTGTTGCAACATTTTGCCCTTTCGGTAGACTATCCCTTATCCCTACCTTCAAACTCTATACTCAAACTGGATTATAGTCCATTTTCACGATGACGACATTTCACCAGTACTTCCAGAATTCATTTCGTTTTTGCTTCTAATTTAAATTTGTTAACCCCACTGAGGTCTAAACACCAATAGTCCTAGTTTGCACAAGAAAACGACAAACTGAAGGATTCTAACAAAAGGACGTCATCTTGCCATTGTCCTGTTGAGGCTGCTTTTAATTTTGGACAAAATCTTGTGACGATGAACTGACCCGTCACGTTGGCGAAACGCCTTAATACGGTAGCGCACAGGACGTGGGCGAAATGACCGTAAATCGTGTTAATAGGATGTGCTAATTAATTTTGCAGGTCTCCCTTGGAAAGTGCAATGAGCTTCTTGCAGCAGACTTCAGTGCGGATAAGTTACCAACTGGCTGTCATAGTGTTAAAGGAATGGGAAAAGTGGCTCCTGATCCAAATGACACTCATACAATGTAGGTTTTTGTTGATGATAAGAAGTGGTAGTTGAAACTAAGCCTAGAATGAGAGCATTGTCTTCAGGTGTACTTTCCCAAGTAACATGCCTAAAGACGGAAATCGGTAGTTTCGATACAAGTCGTTTCGGTACGACTGAACTCAGACAGTGAAACTGCACAACAATTTTCGATCACTTCAAGTATAGTTTGGGCGTTAACAGGAAAAACATTTGGGAAGAAAATTTCGTCGTTCTTTGAGTCAAGTACGAGAAACTATTTACACCTCGACTAAATCAAGTTGTATGGAAACTCCCGGTAACCCGAGAGACCCAACTGGGATGAAGTATTCATCGCTGGCGAAATCGATTCTGGCAAAGTTAACAATAAGAATGGGAGAGCAACTCTTACCCTTATCTATCCAGTTTCGGATACATTTGGTGAGAAAACGCGCTTTTCCTGCCTCCAATTCTACCCCCCAAGGGCTTGCTCGCGCGCCAACACTTTTTGTGGCAAGCCGTGAAAAATACGTAGTTGAGCGTTCAAGTATTAAGTGCGATATCCAGCAATCTGAAAATCACTATTAAATCATACTTGTCCTTTCAAACTTTAGACAGTCTTGGTGTCATTTGACACTACCCAGTTAATACGAGCCAACTCTTTTTATTGTTTCAATTTAAGGCGTGATGGCGTTGTAGTTCCTTATGGGAAAAGCCTAGACACCGGAGTTTTGAATCCGCGTGGATACACTCTCCAGTATAATGGTAAAAGCAATTTTTGTTTTTGTTTTTGAGGAAACTAGTAGAGTGTGCAGCTTGTTTGTTTGTTTGTTTGTTACCAAGTCATCGTGGAACACTTGAAAAACTAGTTACCCCATAGCCTGCGGTATAGGCAATTTTTGTGGTGGGGGATGGGTAGTGGGCGGTGTTGTGCTAGGGAAGGGAATATCAAAATTCAATTCGCTCGGGTTGTTAGTCATTAATCGCATTGATCGCTTTCTCTGGACTTCCCAGCCTTCTTTAAGGTGATTCCCTTGTTTTGCACTGCGCATCTCTTACTGCGCATAACAAGATGGCCGCCGTAAAACAGAGCATGTGAAGTAACATTATTAAAATGAAGTTGACTGAAGAGAAACGCTATTGGAATTTTTGCTTGCGGTTTTTTCTTGCCGAGGTGATACTCAGTGTGTTGGGAATGTGCATAACGTAGGCAGTACGCGTGTTGCTGAGTTCGACTTCCTCACGGAGAACCTCGATAGTGGATGTTTAACTTGTGCTTACTCAATTTGATTTTTATTAAAACGCTTTCTTTATCACATTGTATCCTAAATGTGATATCTCGAAGTAAATTCTGTAAAAACAGATTTTTTAATACTTTCTTCCCCTTTTCACATACATTCTATTTTGAAACTCGCCCCAGTCCTCTCTCAAAACTCGGAGAAAATGCATTTGATGTGCACTTTCTGCAGCTCTACCGCAAAAACGAGTACGGTGACCCCCATTTTTTATTTCATGATTTTAATAAGGACAGTGCTTCCTTTCGATGAGAAAAAAATTGGCACAAATCTATGTTCAGTTTTTTGGCAATTTTACTAAATTTTACTGATTGAGCTATCACGGGTCGAATAGCGCGTGTCCAATTCAATTCTACTTTGGAGCGTAAAATAAAAACAGGAGCATTAAAAGGTATTTTTCTGGTATGTAAGTGGATAAACAATACCATAAAGTCAAATTCTGTGCGATACCACATGCATCATCGAAAAAATCTCTCGTTTTTGTCTAGTTTTGGGCTGCGCGCGGTTTTTGACAAAGGGTCCAAAATAGCCGTATTTCTCAGCATTGTGACGTCAAAACGAGCACGGTGACCCCCACTTTTTATTACTTTTTTATCATCTTCTTGACTTGTTACATCAGTGTACCAAGTTTCATCTACAATCTATGTTAGGTTCTTTTACTAGGGAATCACCTTAAGTTTCACAATCAAAGGTGGCGACTGTAGAAAAAAATGACTTTCGGTCGACTGAAAAATTAGCCCACATTTTACGCTAGTTTTCCTTAGGTTTTCTTTCCAGGAAATCCCCACTAATAGACCCTTGTCACGAGGCGGCCATTTTGTCTCAGGAGATTTCAAAAGCTTTGTTTATGCACGGCTAGCCTCGTTCTCTCTACGAGGCTAGCCGTTCATAAACAGAGCTTTTTAAATCTCCTGAGACAAAATGGCCGCCGCGTAACAAAGGTCTATTCCTCAACTTAGTTGGCTGACGTGCTTGCTAGTTATCAACTAATTGCAACATAACATTAAAAGGCTTTGTTGCTTGTAATGAGACCGAGAGTCTGGAGACACAAATTAAAAGACAACCCCCCTCCCTCCCCCCCAAAAAGGAAATCTGCCCATTCAGAGAACCATTCCGTACAGTAGGTCAGGTATTAGTGACGAAGCGAAATGGAGCCTAGCCTGCATTATCTCTTGATTTATCTTGTGCCTCTCTCCCTTAACTTACAGAGTACATAGTTTACAAGACAACTCAGGTCAGTTAAAAGTTATTTTCTTGTGACCGTTTTCTTTTGTACTAAAACGAGATGGATTTTTTCTGAATCTCAGCAGCATTGATTCCTTTTGTGTTTTTCTTTACCGTCTATGCTTGACTTTAAGCAACTCTGACAACTCTAAACACCTTGTCTAGGCTATAGTCTGTCTTGACACTGCTCACAGGAAATAAAGTTTAGATACGCCAGTTGGTCAAGTTGAAGGCGCTTAGAGCGCGGTTTTGTTAAAAAGCCGCTAAACGGCCTCTTGGCTGCTCAGTCTTCTGTTTTATCGTGGATTAAACAGGTTAGTAGAACATTAAAACGTTGCTGTTATTGCCTTAATTAGTTATGTTCTTTCCTGTTTCAGGTACGAATGAGGTACTTGGTGAAAGTCAAGTTTAACTTCAAATAAGAGAGATACTTATATCAAAGCAAAAAAGTATGTCAGCACAGTCAGCAGCCCAGTTGATCTTTTCAAGTCTAGAGAGGATATATACGCCAGACAGTCGGGGCCGAAAAAAGTACTCATGGAGGGCGGTTTCCACGTTGTCAACGCCCCCTAACTCCCTCCCTTCACCGTCTTCAAACGAGAGAACTGTGCAACGCTAAGCAAAGTCTTCAAAGTTATTGTTGTCACTGTCACTGTCCAAAGTATAATGTCGTGTTAATACGCCGTAAACATGATGTTCAGCGCACTAAATAAGTTTTTTGCGAAGTGTTTGAAAGCTGAAACTTGCGTTTCTGTCGGCTGTGCATTTGTTAACACAATTTAACTAGGGCGCGAAGCATTAGAAGCACTTTATGTGAAGAAAAGATGCAGTGTTAATGTAGTTGCATTCAATAATTATTTTATATATCCTTGCCCTTAGTTTCCTGTTATTAGAGAGATTAACGGCATCGCTTTTAAGGCAAACGTGAATTTGTACCACGTGATCGAGTTTCCCCTTTATTTGTCGTTTACTGTTCATCATAACTACACGAAATTCGGTAGATTCACGCCAATTCTCTCCATAAGAATCGTTTTAAGCTGGTTTTATCAGCTCATTTCTCATTTTGAAAATCTCTCAACTTGAATCTCACGTTTGCTGTAAAGGCGATGCTTAATCTCTCTATTTTTCTGTTACGTTGGAGTTGGTCTAAGCTTTTTCCGTTCATTTTCTCTTAAAAACAGGAAGTTGTAGGACTAGAAATTAATTTCGTCCATGATATTCTTGTTGCGTAAATTGCACTTTGCAAAATCGGATCATAATTCGGAAATGCCCCGAGGGAGATAAAATCCTAAATTGCGAACAAAGCAGGTGTTTGGTGAACTTCCTGTTTTCATTTCCGCTTTATCGCTCTCTAAGACTTCCTCGATGGGAATCTTTTCAAGATGTCCTAAAAATACATTAGCGAGTCCACCTGGCTACAAAGCAGTACATAGAACAATTTTAGCTGTTTTAATTTCAGTGTGCGTCTTAACGACCATTTTTTGAGCCGAGCCGGGTAGGTCAAAATATATCATTTAGTCCTGTCCTGTGAATTGTGAAAAGTACAACAGTATCCAGTCTCGCCAAGTAAATGCTTTACATAAGATTCCGAGGAATAACCTTGATACTGGATTTGATTAGCGCTGAGAAAATGTCGCGAATAAAATGGGGAAAAGGAAAAATAACCTGAGTTGGTCTTGAAAACTAACAGTCCATGTTTCTGCTTGGATTGTTTCCGGTTCCCCTGTGACCTCTGAGATAGCGAATGCGTCTGAAAATTCAAGGAAATGATGAGTTTTAAACTTGTCTGTTGGTAGTCTGTTCCAGATGCTCTGGTAGTGCAGCGTTGAAAAGGGGTGGAAGGGGGAGGACCAGTTTTTTTCTTTCGCTCGGTCTATCAGCGTTGCGCCACTTTAACCTTTATGATCCTTTATAATCGCCGGGGAAAGGATATCTGCTTGGATTCGCGGTTCTCAATTTCGGTGGGGCGAACTATGCTTCTAAAATGGCTGCGTTACTTTAACACTTAATCTTTTTCAACTGTTATATCTTATCAAAGGTTGAACGCGTGGCGTGTGATCAGCCAGCCAGTAAACGCAACCCATTAGATGTAGAGTGGGCAACGTAGTAGCGAAACGTGCAAATGATTTTATATGATGCTCTCTATCAGGGAAGCATGACATGGCGTTCAAGACATTAATGACCCACTTCTTTCAGCCATTGCATGAGCTTCAAATATTCTCCATAGAATGGAAGAGTGACTATTGACAGGATAAACTTAAAGCAAGGGGCACACATGTATCAACGCATGGCCTGGCCAGTGTCTCACGCGTTCGCACCGCCATATCACCCGGGCAGTGGCAGCCATGGACAGATGTTTCACCTTTATTGGAGCTCATCAATACGGCTATGCCTTGCTGATGGCCCCCAATAAGGGTGAAACATGCAGCTGTCTATGGCTGCCACTGGCCGAGGGATATAGTTGTGCGCATGCGTGAGGCACTGGCCAGGCCGTCGGTTGGTATGTGTGTGCCCCTTTTTGCTTTAAGTTTGTCCTATTGATAGGGGCCCGCTCAGGGAACTCTGGGGGTAAAAATGACCCTTTTCTAAAAGATTGGCCTATATTTGTTGTGTCAATTTAAGTAATTGTTCGTTAGAACGAAGATATTTCACCCGAAAGAGGAGTCGGAAATCGACAGAATCCAAAATGAATGAACACGGTCGTAAACTTTGTCACTTCTTTCACACTGTTGTATAACATACGAAAGTGGTTTACAAGCTTCCTTTTTGTTTTCGATCAGAAATTGTTGTTTCTTTTGCCTTCTTCAGTACCCCTTAATCTTGGAAACCTCTTGTTTTTGTTCCAAGCTTCGAAATAATTAGGAAGGCAGATAGCTGATCCAGAAAATTAGTGCAGAAAGCACGGGAGGGATTTTACTTTCGAGTACATTCGAACCTGGGACGGGCTAAGAGCTCATTTTCCCTGGAGAAGAAATAAAAGGTCAGATTCTTAGCAGCTGTCGTCATTGTCTGTTATCTTTGTTCCGAGATACCGTAAAATTCCGAAAATAAGCCCCTCCAAATATAAGCCCCCCAAACCGGTAACGCAAAAAACCCTCCGTTAAATCGCCCCTCCAAATATAAGCCCCTGGGGGCTTGTACTTGGAAAATTGCCCTCAAATACAAAGTAAAACAAAGCAAAAATGGTAAATTTACTCCCAATGCAACTGTAAGGCTAGCCCAGTTGATTTTGAAATGCAAATTTCGATCCCTCCGTAGATAAGCCCCTCGAATATAAGCCCCTCCAAAAATAAGCCCCTCAAAAAGGGTCTTTGAAAAATATAAGCCCCGGTGCTTATTTTCGGAATTTTACGGTAACTCTGGCGAGGTCGGTGAACGCAGTGGAAGAGAAGGGGTAGAAGAGACGGGTACAATCAGAAAGAAGTTGAAAACCTATTCAATTCTATTGTACTACCTAGCACCTCATACGGGCTTGCGGTGTATGGAGAACTAACAACGAGCTGAACTAACAACGATCCAGCGTTTTTTGGATAGATGTAGGAAGCGTAGGTATATATCTCGCATAGCATGGATATCCACGATCTTTGAGGAAAACAAGATACTACGCGCTAGAGTTATGGGCTTAGAGGGTCACCCGCTTTTTGACATGTTGCCAGAGGTTAAGAACACTAGGTACCACCTTGGACGAAAATCAGCAGTGACACCTAAAGTAAACAGGACGCGTTTTATTTGTTCTTTTGTTAACCGCCTAATTTTTAAATACGAGTTAGTTCTTTAATTTTATTAGATTTTAATTGCTATTTCATGTACCTTAGCTTGGGATATGTATGTTTATCTTATAAAATAGAGACCTATTATTATTATTATTATTATTATTATTATTATTATTATTATTATTATTATTATTATTTTTATTATTATTATTAAAGCAGAAAACTCTTTAGCATGTGTGTAGGGGCCTTCCCCACCCCCCCACCTCTCCTCCTCTTTCCGATGTTTTCTTAGGGAAGGGGCGGCTGTACACAGGCTAAAAACTCTTCAAATTCAGGCGAAACATATCTGGGAGTATTTATTGTGGCTGGTGAAAAAAAGGGAGATCGCTTTTAAGTTGTCAGAAAAAGGGATATGTTACACATGAGTCCTTACAGTTATTCTAAGGAAAATAATACACCTCTTTACGCTCTTATATACAAAAGAAGGAAGGCTTTATGAGGCCGATCCCTTTTCTTTGTCCCTGATCTCAGTTGTCCCTTAATCACCAGAGACAGAGAATGGAAATGCTAAATAAAGTAAGTAGTAAATCGTGGGTGGAGGTTCTCAAGACGGCTGGCTTGTCAGCCAAGGGAACTTACTCGAGACATAAAGGAAATAAAGTGAGACAAGACGTGGGCGGTGGGTGCTATTTAGGTTTATTTTTTTAGGTCATCGATATTGTAATGTTGTTTTACTGACTGGTTATACGTTCTTCATAGTTCCATGAGGAAATCTCTCCACCCCTAATCTTGACCCTTTGTGACCCAAGACACGTGCGTGGTTGACAGTAAAGTGCCGAGCAAGACTGGGCGCGAAATTATTTGGGAAGATGGCGCGTAATCTTGCATGTGGTCTTTGTGTTTGGTCTTCGTAATTTAGCTTGTCGTACAAGCAAACGATCTTCTCAGCATGGCTGAGAAGAGATCTAAACGAGAACGGAAAGTGCGATCTAATACGGTAAGTTGTGTAATTGAAATTTTTACGGCTTTTGGTGAGAAAATAGTTATCGAGCTTTTTGCGGCGCTGGCAACTGCACACACAAAAGCGTTTATGAAAACAATGTGTTGAAAGTCGCTTGGAAAAGTGACTAGTTTACATTTACTTGTGTTGATACAAAGAAATCAGGCGTCAATTCTCGTACTGGAGAGCAGATTTGAACGTCCTGTGTTAAATTTGTGAGTAAAAATTACATACGCAATGATTAAGTTGAAGGGAAATTTACACGATAACTAGTTATCGTGCGTGCGGACATGAAATCGACTAATAAACTTGGTTCCATGAAATCGGTACGGTAAATTCAACATCTGTTGACACTTCTGTTTACATGCAAGCTTAGTTGTTCTGAAAAATTGTTTTCGACGGCTTAGCTCATTGCGGGGGCTGAACTGACACGAAGGATTCAGGTTTGCCGCAGATTTAACTGTGTGCATTGAGGTGCTCCCAAGATTTGGATCCTTTTTAGTCCAAATTCGTGTGGATAGAAACAGCTGTCTGGTGGTCGGAGAAAGTCTTACTGGTATTGAGATCTTTCTCCGGAACTTGTGTAATTCCTTCATGCTGTTACATTGCTAATTTAAAGTAAAGTGAAAAAAAAAACAAAAAACAAAAAAAATGACAACGTTGCCTTGGTCCTTGTTCATGTTCCCTAACACGGGTCTTATACTCTAACAATATAATAACTGTTTGGAGAGCAATTTTTTATTTGACAAATCAGTATTAATATTTGGTATGTAGGGGTGAAAATGTGACAATGATGGGACATTGTCTTTTAAGGTGACTTAGATATGGCTTTGATTCCTTAATTTGCAAGTCACGTTTTATGACTTTTCACCTATCCAAAGCTCTTGAACGTAAACATCATTTATTACATTAGCCGGGTTCTGAATCAAATTTTCCTTAAAAAAATTGTTGTTTAGGCATGTCAAGCCGAAACAGAAAACAGTTTCCAAATTTAGGTGACTTATTAGACCAGACCATAAACCAAGGCAAGCTGTGGCTTCTATGCCTGTACTGGCACAAGAGTCATTTTCGCTAGGCCCAAAACATTTTTTAAGAGCAGGATTGATTACGGTTCTTCTGTGATTTGAATATCCCCCCAAAACTTCACTTACCTGTCAGACAAGTTAAGAACAGAATTCGATACCCTGATAACAAAATCCACTAGCCCCTGGCTATCGGACACAACTTTCTTTGCAAGCTGTAAACTAAATATTTCTGACTTCCTGACCTCCTGGACAGAGTTAACCAAAATTTTAAACGTTTTCTCAGGGATTCTTTGGAGCAGGTCTGCTGCACAAAGAAGAAGTAGAATTGAGAAGGGCATTGAATGCATCCTTAAGAGAAGTACGGCGATCTCACACAAAGAAGGAAGAAAAGCCCAGTGAATTTATAGCAACGACAACAAGGTGTGTTTCGAGTACAACAAATACAGAGGTATCTCAGGAGGATGATCACTCTGATGAGCCATTGGAAGTGACAAAAACTGTTTGTATTGGCACAAACACAATGTTCCGGATTAAGTCTGATCGCTCTAAGAAGTCAGATGGTACCAACAAAGGAAAAGGAGGTTCTTCCAAAAAGCAAAAGACAGAGAGGGGACAGAAAATAAACAAAGCTTCTCAGCAGGAAAGTGATTTGTTTAAAAAACCATTGAAAAGGAAGAATGGTGCAGAGATCTCTTTTTGTTCATTTAAAAAGAAAAAGAAAGGAATTAAAGGGATAGAAAGTGAACCATCTTTTCATAATGGTTCTCAAATGCCATCTAGATCCACAGCTGGGGAGCCCACTAATAGTGGAGTGGTTGGAAACAAAGTGCGACTGAACGAGGAAATGGGGATGTCATTGGATATTGTAAAGAAAGGGTTTAAAAGTCCAACTAAAACGAACAAAGTTTGTCAACTTTCTGGAGGAAAGAAACCAAAGATGCTAGTTAAAGACAAAGCTGCTTTGTACAAGCCACTTCATAAGAAAAATATGAAAAGTGCTCATAAAAGCAAAATTGTTCAGAGTTTGAATGCGAAATTTAGTGCTGCTGTGAGAGATGAGACATTGCTTTCTGCAGAAGTAAAGAATGACGGTGACATTCAAAGAGATGATACAGCTTGCAGCGATAAAATGAAGAAGAAAAGCTTTTCAGTACAAAATGATAATGAAAAGTTAGAGAAAATGTCAGGTCCCTCAGAAGTCATCAATAGTCAAGATAAAAATTGTGAACTAAGACTGCAAGTGACAAATGCTGGTCATGGAAAAATGCGACGTCGGCTGAAGCATAAGTTTAAAGATAGAAAACTCGTGTGTCCACTCGGGGAGATATACATACCAGCTAATGTTGCCAAGACTGAAGACTTCCTTACGTTCTTGTGTTTAAGGGGTACGTACCTTGGGTACCTGCTTTTAAATTTTTTTATTATAACCTTAAAACCAATGATAAAACAAATAGCTAAGGCATTGTCGTCCAACTAATTGGATTCAATAGTTTCTATTGAAAGTATCCCCTCAGTCTGTAAGCCTCTACAGTTGCAGTCTAGTTACCTTTTTGTGCTCAGTATTTGTGTTTCCTTGCCTACTATTACCGGTCCCTTAGCCTTCTTTAGCACATTTTTCCTCTTGTTAGAAATTTGCCACCCCCTTTCCTACAAATTCCAACCTTGTTGCTCACAGTTCTGACTCTTTCCTTCCATAGCCCTTTGAATCAAAGCCCCATTATTTTCATCAAATTAATACCCATTTTCTTAACCAACCCCCCATGTCTTGGTCCCCATCCCTGTCCACCAGTTTTCACTCCCTTTCTCCAATAATTTTCCAACCCTTTCTCTAACCTCAATCCTGTCCTATTTATTGTTTTTTCTTTTGTTTAAAAACTGCCTTCCTTTTAACCAAGAAGGTATCACCCACCCCTTTTTTCTGTTTTCCACTCCTTTCCCCTGGCAATTTATACTTCCTTTTTCCTAGATAATATTCTGCCTCTTTATTCTCCTCATAAGACTCTTAAGTTAGGCAGCCACTAAAGTTTAATGCATTGAGTAGGACACTCAAAGAGCAAGTCAACTCCAGCTCTTGGGGTAATGCCTTCAGTAACCTGCGATCAGAGGTTTCTCTCTGGCATGGCCTTTAGCATTTACAAAGTTGTTCATGGGGCTTGTCTGTCACATAGTTAGCTTGTTTACGCCTTGTGTTTCTCTGGGGCATATAAAACAAACCAACTACGTGACTGACAAGCCACATGAATGACTTTGTTAACGCTAAAAGCCAAGCAAGAGAGAATAAACCTCTGCTCGCAGAGTATGCGTTAAGAAGTGTAGCACACAGTCTATTATTTTGCAGGATTGTCACTAAGGGCTGGGGGAAGTGGATTTCCCCCAGCTACTATGACAATGTCCCCTGGCTACTTTCATGGGAAGCAAAAGGAAAATTGAACTAAAAGAAATATATTCCTAGCTCTTTAATTCCCTTCCTCCTAATTGCTTATACCTGGCGACTTGAAATCTTAGCAACAGCCCTGCTATTTGCCACAAGTACCGGTACATTTAGCTCCATAGTTCTCTCTGAGATTATCATAATTTAGTAGGTAGTAACATAATAGTTTAAAAATATCTCATGTAAAAAGAGCAGTATGAAAAGGCCATGTCTATAATCTCACACACTACTTATAGATCAGAGAGTATGTTACTATGATATTATTATTGTAACATATTTTCTCTTCTTCTAGGTAATTCCAGTCTTCCAAGATGTTTTGATGTGTTCAAAGATCCAGATCCTTTTTTTACACAGCCGGCACAGCAGTTTCCTGGTAACATGGCTCTTCCCTGTTCAACATTCCCTATGCAATCATCAGTGATTTATTCTCCTCCCTCATCATGTACCCCTAGTGAGTCATCAGCACCCTCACCCATGTCATCAACTGATGGCTGGATAATTAATGATGACTGAAATACCCTAATGATTAATTTTATTTAAGTGATAAAAATGTTTTGTACTTTTCCAGCACAGCTCTAGTTTGAACTTTTAAAACGTCCATCAAAAATAATCTTGTTATATACCCTGGAACCTTCAATCTTTAGCAGTAGCCAAGTTTTCATGCCTAATTTCTAATCCACAGGCTCAAAATGTCTTCCTTTGAAAACCCCATTTATTTATTGATTATCTAAATCCTGTTGAAAAATTCTGCACAGAAATGGCAGAGCCTGTTGAACAGTGCATTATTACTTAGTTATCTCCATTTTGATTAATAATAATTTGGTATGAGCTATGCAACTTGGGGGCATACTTGCATCTTTTCTTCTCTAACCAGTGCCCTTGACCTTGTAGAGGTGAAGTGAAGCGGATAGACACTAAGTTGTTATATCCATGGTGTAAATTTGTAGATTAAATTTTCTGGCAAAAACCTGTCAGAAGCAAGGCAGATAACCTGTAAGATACTGTAACAATTTCTAGTAAGAGAAACAAACCTTGTTCTGTAAATTTCATCTAATGGGCTACAAAAGGGAGCTTTAAGCAAAGACGTTTTTTAGCCACGTACGTCAACCGGAAGTGGACTTTTGGCATTCTTGAGCAGTGGTTTTGCCCAATTTTCAAGCAAGTCATCTCTATAAGAGTACAAACACTTAGCAATACAAATTTGGTAACATCAAGGCATATTAAAAGGGAAAAGACATATCACTTCTGGCTGACATACGTCGCTCAAAAACTTGTTTTGCTTATTAGTTCCCTGATGATGTCAAAGCCAAAAACATTCGCACTTTTCCAATGTTTTCTAGTTCATCATAGCGATTCTGTGTATGGTCACATGCATGTTTTAGCAGAATGCACTGTATTTTTAAAACAGCTTTCTTCTGAGAGAAAATACCGTGCTGCGTTTCACGTATGAAGGAATGACAAAAGGTTTTGTCCACCGTTGAAGTGTATTTGCAATTTATATAAAATAGGTATGCATGTGGAAGTATGGTCAACTCTCTTTATGAAGGACTCTTTTGCAACCATTAGTGTTTTTATAATGGCCTGGCCTGCAGGAAAAGAATTTGTTTTGGGCATCCATGTAATAGATCCTTTATTGACCAATCCTCTTCGGTCAATATGGCTGAATGTTGGCCAAAAGGTTTTGTCCACCGTTGGTGCAATTTATTTTTTTTTTCTTCTTCTTTGCAACCATTTGTTTTTTTGTTTTGTTTTTTTGTTTGTTTTGTTGGGTGTTTTTTTTTTTTTTTTTTTGTTTTGTTTTTTTTTTTTTTTTTTTTTTTTTTTTTTTTGCATTTTTGTGGAACGAGAAGAGATTCGAGGTCCATAAAAACGCTGTCAAAGAACTTGTCCAACATCCAGCCATCTCGATGTCAGTCGAGAATCAGAAAATAATTGAAGAACGATAACCTTTATTAGAGAGTAATTTTATTCTAAGTGTCAGTCCTAAAAAAGAGGCCATATTGCATGCGTTTTTTGCATGTGTATATTAAAGTGCTGTGACTCGCGTAGCTTTATGTACCAACGTGATAAGCTAACCATATTTGTAGTACTTGTATATATTGTCCATATTTTGAGCCAAACTAGGGTGCCATGGAAAAAGTATTTATTGTACGAAGCTATTTTTATGACCGCTTGATTTGTATGTATTTTGTTATCTGCTTTTATATATTACTTGAAGAGGTACATTTTTTGACGATTGTATCTGTACAATTTCAACACAATCCGGAATGATTCAATAAACATGTACTTTTTTTAAACGTTCCCTATTTTACATTATCAGTAGACGAATGAGAACTTTGGTAAATTCGCCTCGCCAAGTTCTTTTCTCAGCTCGCCTTTAGCACGCGGTACGCATTAAAAACAAAGAATGCGTGGACGAACCAACACAAGCAGCTATCGTAGGCCCTTTGCAGCTAGCCATTCACGTGGTACAAAACCGTCGTGCTGGAGAGCAAAAGTCGCACTGGGACAAGACAAACAAAGAAAATTACCATTTAAAATTATGTATGTCTTTTCTTTGTCTTGTCCCAGTGCGACTTTTCCTCTCCAGCGTGGCGATTTTGTACCACGTGAATGGCTAGCTGCAAAGGTCCTATAAGGACCTCGCAGGGTCTAGTCCAAGAATATTGGCCAATGAAGGCTCTGGCCATGGGCCTCGTCCTGACGTGGAGAGGAGAAGTCGTTACGTCAAGTTGCCATGGTAGCAAAAATTTCTGGACCTCAACAAGCCATGATCCTGCAGATAACGAAAATGCAAATGGCCGTCTCTGCCAAGAAAAGGTTGTTGAGATCTAGAAATTTTGCCACCACGGTAACGTGACGTCACTCTTCTCTCCATTGCTAGGGCCGCTTTTTATGAGTTCTTGTAATATTCTACCACTTGGATGGAATTCGTTGATTTTTTTGGGGGGTTTACTGTCTATTTTGTTTTATAGTCGTCGTGCTGATTTTCATTACCGCTAAGAGGAAGAATTGAGTTTATTCTACAGTTTGATGTCGCGGGATGTCATCGATTCGAAAAATTGTGCCGCGCAAAATTTACGTAAGTGCGGCAAAGTGGGCCGGCTGCGACACGGAGGTCCTGCCAATGGGGGGCGGAAATAACCGGTAGCGGAGACTGCAGTAAGAAACCAGGACTGAGGAGCAAAGTGTGATCAATGTTTTCAAGTTGTGAAGAAGGAAGTTTAAGTCCGGTAACTCGAATGATAATTTAAAATAAAATTTAGCGGTTACCTGTTGACCAGAATGCGCCCTTGAGAAAGCAACAACGACAAATCATAATTAACAGTTTCTTGTGATAGCAGCAGCAGCAGTGGTACATACACCTTTTGCCCTTCATTATCGTGAAAATATTTTTTATTTTAATTAATGTATAAACAGTTCCGCCAAGGAAACAGACAATTAATTTTGTGGCATAGCCATTAAAGACATTTGCATCAAGAAGGAAAATAATTAAGGCCAATTTCTACAGCGTTTTATCGAAAACAACATCCTTTAGTGCGAATAAAATTTCATTTTCCTTGGGTGAATGTTCGTTTACGAGAAACAGAATATCAATAACTATTGTTTTTTATGAGCATTATCTTGCCAATATCTTGCTGAATTTGAAGGCATGCTTTAATTCGGGAGCGAATCTCACAATATACCTAAACTCGTATTGCAGAAGTGGCGCGTATTGCATTGCAATCATTTCGTTAGGTGCTTTGAACATAAACTGCAGCACTGTTGTTTTTATCATTGATGTTTGCCGCTTTTCATAACCAGTCTCCTCTAATAACTATGGTGTACCGTTGTAAAATTTGTTGCTATGCTTGCAGAAACAAACACGCGATGCGTAAAATGTTTGGTCAATACATGAAAAAACGGGGAGCAGGAGGATAGATAAAAATAGCCAGAAATTGTGCGGCGTGGTTTAGGTTTATGCAGACCTATATACGGCGATGTTTGAACGACGAAAACATTGAATTAAGGATAAACGAGAAAAAACGTGATTGTTGAAAAACATTACAGTGAAACCCCGCCTTACGGCCACCTCGGTAATACGGCAACTTCGTTATTACGGCCACTGTACTTTGCCGCCTGGCAAAAATCGCCATACATTTTCTTGTAAAAAACAAAACCTTCGTAAATACGGCCACTCCGTTAATACGGCAAAATTTTTTTTGGCTCATTGGTGACCGTATTAACGGGGTTCCACTGTATATCTTTTCTGTTAATGAATTTCTTTTCTTGTTAAAGAACATTACGACGCCGCCAATGTTTGACTATTCTCTAAAAGACTGTTATTTTCATGAAGTTGAAACTATATTGGTATTAATGAATGTTTTTGCATATGTAAAATGCTTTAATAATCACACAAATATCATAGTTTTCTATGATGGTTACACATTCGTTTTAATGACAAAACTTTTGACGCTAATGGAAATTTATATCGCGGAAATGAAGGGCAAAAGGTGTAGTAGTACAGGTGGAAAAAAATTCAAAAGAAAACATAACCAAGGAGAATCTGACAGAGACACGTCTATTTACTACAATTATCTTTATAACGATAACAACATTCTCCCTTTTCCCTTTTCTGCTCTTTCCCTATCTCTCCTGCTCCCGTTTCAGCGCCTGACACGCTGGCTAATGAAAACTGATCTGCTTTGACGTGTGGCTTTTAAGTTCGACGTTTGTAAGTGCGTTCCCGTCTTAATACTAGACGGCTTAATTAACGGTTGGAACGACAAAGGTGTCTCAGTGTTAACAGCATCGATTAGACGCACTTCACTTTCCACGTTTGAATTGTCTAACTTTTAGTGCTTCTGCTTTTAATATTTACCATATGCAAACTAGACGTTCAAGATGTCTTCTACGTTCTCACAGCCACACTTGTTCCATTACACAAGAAATTGTCCACAACTTGGTTACAGTTTGTCTATATGTGCCAGTCACACAACAGCTTTAGATTCTTTAGTGGATTCAAGTATCTAAAATAGATCATCATAAGAATAAATACACTCTTGCCAAAGCAAGCCCCTCTTAGGAATAACTTAAATATGAAGGATTTTGAAACTGAAATCGATTTCTTGAAAAATACTTTTTGTCTGCCTCCTCCTCAGGCACTATTCGTTTTTCACGCTGAGTCAAGCGCGAAACGCGAGTGACTGGTGACGAAGCCCAAAGAACCATGGGAAGGAGAAAGAAGAGAGACCCGTTTTCTCCTTCCCGCCTTCCTTTGCGCGCAAACTTTCATCGAGAGAGAGAAAAGTCTGGGTACGAGGCAGATTTTCTGTCTTATTAAAGAATCGCCGCCACCATGGAAACAAAGAATAAATAAAAGTAGGTTGAGTTTGATCGTCCGGGTGAACGTAGTCCTGAATACGACTGTTGTTGTTGACAGTGACTGACGTTTCGACAACCTGTGCGGTAGTCATCAAGTGAGTTGTATCACTGACAGACGACCAATAACATCGCGACGTAATTGACCAATCAGATCAATAACCAGAGTATACCATCAACTGACGTGATACAACTCACTTTGACTCTGAAGATGACCACCGCTCAGGTTGTCGAAACGTCAGCCACTGTCAACAACAACAGTCCTATTCAGGACTACGGTCACCCAGACGATCAAATGACTCCTAGGTTCAAACCTTTCACAAAGAATAAATAATTACGGTCAAAATATTACAAGGGAGTCATGAAACAATTTCCGCAGTTTAGTTTTAAATTCTGGTATACCAGTCCCGTACTTCGCAGATACTGGAATAACAGGTAGTGGTGATGTCTCTTCAAGTCTCTGTATTTCACGTTCAGAATCAACCATGTCTATCTTATTGGCTACAATAGCTCCAGGTCTTTGAGAGAGTTGTTCTTTGTAAAGCTCTAACTCCTCCCGCAAACATTCAAATGTGTTTACTGAGTCCGGCTGAGAAACGTCCAAAACGTAGAGTAAGCAACGACATCTTTCAATGTGACGCAAAAAAGCATGTCCCAGTCCCTTATTGAGATGGGCTCCACTTATTAAACCAGGAATATCCGCAACTGTAAAAGAGAAAACGATTATTTAGTTTACAAAGTTTTACAAAAATGTTCAAAGAAATACCAGCGCTATAATTCGTCTTAACGCATTTATTCTACTACATGAGAAATGTCTGCAATTTGATTGGCTTAGAGAAGTGGTATTTCAGCTTAATTTGGAATGCTTACATGTGAAAATTACAAATCTTTTGCGGGTAGTAGTATTAACAAATAATAGCGTGATTTGTGCGTGATATTTGGCATAAATACCACTGGTGATATTTCAAAATTGTCACAAATTTCACTCGCCTAACGGCTCGTGAAATTGGGTATAACAATTTCGAAATATCACTCGTGGTATTTATGCCAAATATCACTACAAATCATGCTATCAGATTACCTATACTTATTATACAGTCGAACTTCTATTTGGGAACACCGCTCGTAAATTGCAACCAAAACTTTCCCAGTCAAAGACTTACAGTTGGAAGGTTCTCGTACACGACCACCTCCTGTAAGCGACTTGCATGTCCGGACATCTCGGAAGAGACCCCGGTGATTCGATTTCTCGTAAGCGACCACTTTTCGTAAGTGACCACTAAGTCTTTGCATTTTGGGTGGTACCTTACGGAAGGTTCGACTGTATTTCCGTAAAGCACGCGCCCTACGTCACGCGCAAGTTTAACGGACACAAACCTACGCGCCCGAAGCGCACGTAATTCAGGGAACACTTAACAAAAGGAAAAACTGCTTATTCTATGTGCATTTCCGGCATATGTAAACAACTAGAAATTTTCCCTGTGGTTTCGAAAGGGAAAAAAGAGAAAGAACGCAATAAGTGTTTCAATGAAGTTTCAGAAACAGAGGAGTAATGGGAAAGATACTAACAAGTGCTTTATGGAATTACCAACCGCGTTCAAACCTGTCTTGCAACAAATCAGGTTGCTGCAAGATGCGTGAATACTGACTTCTGATTGGATAAAATTACGCGGGAGCCACGTCACGTCACACGAGGGTTGGGCGGGTAAAACACGCAACATGTAAAGATACAAAAAGTGGATCTACTCTCTACTTTCCGCAACAACTTTTCGCAACCTGCAACAGCCTGATTTATTGCAAAAGAGGTTCAGAGCTACCTGCAATCTGCGAGTAATCATCAAACTCCAGAATACCAACATAAGGGTTTATTGTTGTAAATGGATAGGCAGCAACGGCAGGTTTTGCTCTGGAAATTGCCCTTAAAAGAGTGGACTTTCCCGCATTGGGAAAACCAACCTAAAGGACAACAAAAAATGAGGATGAAATTTTGGTCATAGCAATCTATTATGGTTGTCCACTTCTATACAACCCCCACCCCTACCATGTCCAAAAAAATGAGATTTTGGTCCCTTACAAGGTTACTATAATAAGCATTACTGCTTTTGCTGGTGACCATTCAGACACTGTCTTGTCAACACTTGGAAGCTGTGTTTAACATTTAAGAGTGAAATTTCTTGTAAAAGGAAATGTTGAGAACAACACGGAGATCAAGATCTGGTTTCATATCGCTGAGCTTAAAATATTAAAAGTCCTATTTCATCTGCTCCTGTTTCTTAGAGGGAATCATCTAAAGAAGAATCATTAAATGACTCTAAATTGTACATGACATCACACAAGCGGATAACATATTTACCGAAAGAGGAGGACAAGAATTATAAGGGAAATAGATATTTTTCAGATTTCCTTTGAGCCTCAGTCTCTCTCAAAGGCCAATAGTCTTTTTTATTCTTCTTTCAAGACTCTTGCCTCACTTGTGTTGCATGGCAGTAGAGGGATGCAGAGAAAACTTGTTCTGAGAGGAAAGGTCACTTCCCTACCCAAGGTACCCTGGGCAAGCCAACTTTTCATTATATATCCTTACAAAACTTGGCAAACCGTCTACACGAGAAGCAAAAAGTTGGCTTGGCCAGAAGGGTGACCCACTTAGCCAGGTCACCCTTTTTCGATAGTAGGGTCACCCTCCTAGCCAGGCCAAATATTCTCCATGTGAACACTTTGGCTCACCCAGGCAGGTCAACTTGGTCAAGGCAAGAAAATCAGAGCATGTGCAAGCACTGTTGTCAGCTCTTGGCTCAGGCAAAGGGGTTAACTCCATTCTCATATAAATGCTCGCTAAAGTTGACTTGGCTTGGAGGGTGATCCTCTTTCCCAGGGTAACTTTTCTCCATAAAAACAGGGCCTTGGTGATGACTATTCCTTTTCAGAATTTGCTTACCAAACCAATATCAGCTATGGTTTTGAGTTCCAATTCTACAACTTTCTCCTCTCCAGGAGTTCCATCAGAAGACAGCTTAGGTGCTTGATCCAGAGCAGTCTTAAAGTGTGAGTTTCCAAGTCCCCCTAGTCCTCCCTTGGCAGCAACAAAGGTTTGCCTCTCGGATGTCATGTCGGCAATCACTTGACTATTTGCTTTGACCACTGTTCCAAGAGGAACCTAAAAATGAACAGCTGGTTAAGCTAGAAGTAAGTCATCTGAGATCTTTTACATTTAGTCTTACAATTCAAATAAGACAGGCCGCAAGTTGTCTTAACCTTAACTCTTCATCAGTGGGATGCCTAATATGTGTGCAATCCCACAATAATTGGTTTTGGCTCCATTAAAGCATACATGTATACCAGTTACAAGTAGAACATTTAAGGAGGAGACAGCAACAATGTGAGCACAGTTACTGATAAGGCATGTGAGTAGGAAAACAGTCCAAAGAAAACAACTACATTCAAAAGGGTGAAAATAGGATTAAGGGTTAGCCATGGTTTGGATAAATGGTATAAACGTTTTTCATTTTAATCAGGGTAAAGAATACTCAGTGTTAGCTAAAACAGTACATAATTTTGGTACATACATTGTAGCATTCTATGCTTTCTCTAGCTTTAGGTATATTGTCGGAAACCAGGGGAAATTATACCTTGAGTACGAGTCTCTTTTAGGTGTATCAGACGATATATTGGTTTCCCATTCACCTCTGGCTTAGGATCCATGTAAGACAGGGTTGGTATTACAAATGTACGACAAATTGAACTATGGCACTGTTTTCAGAGATGCACTTTGACCCAGTTTCCTTTGCAATCTTGTAATAAGACAAACTAATGGTAAGTGGCAAGTAAACCAACCAACGGCCTGGCCTCTACCTCATGCATGCGCACAGCCATGAGCAATGGCAGCCATGGACAGTTGTTTTGCCCTTATTGAGGCTCATTGGCATGGCAGAGCCTTTAGGCCTATGAATAGACAAAGCCATGAAGCATAGGCCCTTTTACTGCCGAGGTGAGTGCAAAGCATTCCTTTCAGTGCCAGCTCCACACAACGTCAATAGACCTTTTTACCGATATGGCGGCCATATTGAATTAATTCGATTTAAGGAGTATTATAGGAAGCCCAGGGGGCATGAGCGCATTTCGTTTGTATTTTCGAGCGCTTTTCAGGGCATTTTTTCTTAAAGTTTTCTTAGAATAAGATTGTAATGAGAAAAAAGATCCTTGTACCATGTTTGGATGTAATAATGATCACCTTTTTCCAGTTTAGTATTAGAAATATGGTCTTTCACTGTATATTTCTCGGGAAAAGGGTGATCATTATATACATCAAAACACGGCGCAGGGATATTTTTTCCCATTACAATCTTATTCTAAGAAAACTTTAAGAAAAAATGTCCCCAGAAGCGCTCTAAAATACAAACGAAATGTACTCATGCCCCCTGGGCATCCTATAATACTCCTTAAATCAAATTAATTCAATATGGCCGCCGTATCGGTAAAAAGGTCTATTATGTGGTAGCTGTTGACTGGGAACCATTTGGCAGTTCTTCCACAGCATGCGTGAGGAAGGTGGATCGGCATTTCCACCAATCTGTGTGTCAATAAATTCAATAATAAGATCCAATAAAAGAACTGCTAGCAGTAATTTATTCGATGCAACACCATCCCAGTCTCACACTCAGTAAGTTTCTTCTGCTCTTTTTATTTTACCTCAAATATCTGATCAGAACCATTTCTGCCTTTGCAATTTTCTCCCCTGCCAGCTCCACCATTTTCTGCCTTTATGTGCTTTGGAAGATGGGCTAGTTCTTTCACAGCATAGTCTGCAACCAGCACAATGTTCCCACCTCGGCCCCCATCACCACCGTCGGGGCCAGCTTTAGGTTGGAATCTAGTAAGTTACACATTACAGCTGTTTCAGAAAGCACACGACCTGCGAGGTCAAAAACGTCTTTGGATTCTGGGTTTTTCTGTGACAATGATCAAAATCTGAAGGCTATGCACTTTTGCACTGGACCTCTTAGGAAACAGAAGTTTACTTCAGTGGGTTTGAAAGGTCATGGTTTGTGATTTGTGATTAATTTGGTGGATTTTGATCCGTTTTGTGTGTTTCTTGGTTTTAAGGTTTGTTGCTTTTGAACTTCACAAGTTCGCGTGTTTTCACGTTTTAGTTCTCAAGTTTTTTTACCTTCTTACTAAAACATGGCAAGTTTAGATTCCCCAGGTGAAATTGTTCCTATAGAGCTTCCAAACCCAGAAGAAACACAGATATAGGAGGGTGAAAACAAACTGGTACATTGAGGCCAACATTAAATTTTGAAGCTTCAGCTCATCATTGCTGACTTTATTTGACAAGCAATGTTTAGATGCTATATATGGTAACGGTTTGATTGACGTGGAAGAAAAACCCAAAATCCCGAAACGTTTTTGACAATGCAGCTCGCATGTTATCCGAAACAGTTGTAAGAGACGATGAAATTTAAACCTAAAATAGGTATTCCAATTATCTTTATGGCACAAGAAGGATACAATTTCAGCAGTGTTTGACTCATTAGAATCAAGTGTTAAAGAGATTATTAAAAAGATTTCAATTGGAGCCATTGATTTTTTTGGCAAAGTGTCCTTATATTCGACTCGCTATCTTTGATGCTAGAGCTTCAAATAAAATGTAAGATCAGAGTATAATAATGTCTGTATGTTTTACAGTCAAACTTACTTTTTTCTTCTGAAGTGCACACATCCATTTCCACCATCTCCTGCTTTTAAAACTACCTTTTTCCAGTCAATAAACTGTCTTTCCTGTTGTTATAAAAGCAGATCCACAAAAAGTATTTTAAACCTCAAATATTGGCACATGAAGACTCTTTCTAAGGGCCTGTTTACATGGAGGTGGGGGACCCCAGACCCGGCGGGCACTTGGGTATTTTTTGGGTGGGTATGTGCCGCCCAGGACTCCAAATTGGCACCCCGTTCTAAAAAAAATTTTCCCTAAAATTGCTACCCCGTTCTAGAAATGGGCCAATTTTTTATATCCCGTTCTAGAATTCGCCCTAAAACTGATACCCCGTTCTAGAAATAAACCAATTTTTTATTCTCCGTTCTAGAAAGTTTGTAAATTGAAATAGCCCTGTGTTTTTAAAAAGATATTTCTTTATTTGTTCGACTTATACATCAAATAAATACTTCTTCATAATCATCCAGAGTACGTTTCCTGTGCATGTGGATACAATGCGGTTAATAATTAACCGCATTGGAGTACGTTTCCTGTGCATGTGGATACAATGCGGTTAATAATTAACCGCATTGTATCCACATGCACAGGAAACGTACTCCGGATGATTATGAAGAAGTATTTATTTGATGTATAAGTCGAACAAATAAGGTGCAAAATTATGGTGCAAAATCTCTCACCACGCACAGAACTACGCTTGTAAGCTAACAATTTTCCTTCTCCTGCCCTGTCCCTTTCTTTTGAGCCCGTCTCCATCTCCCTCGGGTATATTATGGACTCGTTCCAGACTTCCGCGCTCCTATTTAACCAAGATGGCGGAGTCAGCGCTCGCAGGTCGCTCGCGCCAAAATACGCCCGCCCTGCACGCTAAAACACAGGGTGCAACGAGAGTACAACAGTTTGCTTGTTAACGCATTGAAACGTATTTTTAAAAGCAATCTGTCCTTGAATAATTTCAAATGGCTGCTTACAAAACTGGAGCTTTCGTGCGTTCGAAATATCATACTCCGTTCTAGAAAAAGCCTCTGAAATGGTACCCCGTTCTAAATGAGGAGCTTCAAAATCACGACCCCGTTGGGTGGCACATACCCGTATAGGTATTGTATGGGAGTACCCCCCCGGGACCCCAGTCACCCCACCTGTCATGAAAATATGATCAAATTAAAATGAGACATTATATGGACAGGAGGGTTACCCCACCTTAGCAGGCTACCTCACCTTCCTGGGTTCCCCTACCTCCATGTAAACAGGCCCTAAATCTTAGCATGTCCCAAAAAATCTTAAAAACCAGGAGGAGAGAGGGGAGGGAGTGTGGATATCAAATGGAAATGGTCCTAATAGGGGACCAGGACAGGCTTATGCATTTCATTACTACAAAAACCTTCATGGGCCCCTTTGTAGTTAGATCGTCCTAAATGACTAAATCAATTACCTTAGTGGATGGTTTAAAGCTTAAAGATCGGCTAAGTTTGGACGTCCCCCAAGTCCAAAACTTCATTGCATTCAGCCGAGCATGGCCTGGTTACCCAACCTTCAGGCGTGGAAACTGGTAGGTACTTCATGTATGGGGACCTGTCAACAACCTGCAAATGAAAAGTGAGTTGTTTACAGATCTGAGCCAGGGCTGATAATTATGGAGGATCGATACACGTGGTCGGGAATTTGTTTTCAGAGCTGGCAGGCAAATAATATTCAAATTTAGCACCAACAGGACAAGGGAAGAATGGCGGGCGAGCGCCCAAGGCGAAGAATAACTCAGCCTTGCTTGGTATGTATGTAGCATTAAAGTGCTATGTCACGACTTGTTCTTCAAAGACGCCGCGTTATAAATTTATCGCCTTCTCGCGCTTTATCGTGCCCTGTTGCAATTCAAGCGAAAGAGATCTGTCTGTTCTCCATTTCTACCAAGTAATTTAGACGTCTGGTCACCTTATAGCGTATATAACTTAAGATTAACAGCTTGAAATTTACAGCCTTGATCATTGGCTTTCTTTTGACGATCGCTCGAAGTCGATCAAAAACGAGTTCATTTGTATTCGTTTCATCGGCCTTTGTGCGAGGCAATTAATTTCCTTGTATCTTTGTCATATTTAGGTCAAAGGAAAACACCACACTTTGAATATGAATTTTCTATTAAAAGTTAATTACGCCGTCTGAAAACCATCTCTTTCGTGAACCTGAGATCGAGTCGTTTAGATGGTTAGTCAAATCTTGTCAGCAAAGCTGTGTTAAGTTGGTTTAAGTTATGTTGAAAACCTTCAGTTGGTTTTAAGAATTAGTCAGATAAATATTCACTTTTCACTCAATTTCCTTTTTAATGTAAGTATACAATATTTCGATCCTCTTTTTAGCTAAAGAATTGATCAAAGCGGGTGTCCCTTTAGATAGTGTATACGGTTGACTGGCCAATTTAACGTTGAGGTTCTCTTCAGAAAACTAACCGCAGATTGTTCACTAACCCAGAACACTTTGGATCAAGAAGTGGTGACTTTTTACATCAACGACCCTAAAAAGACAAACAAGTGATTAACAGTTTAAAAAAACAGCCTAAACATTCTTAATTGTCTTTGCAACAGATTACAATGTAGCATTGTACCTTTCCTTTGTTGGATTGTATTTGTTTTTTGTTTTTTTTTTTCCTTTTTTTTTTCTGAGTATCTTAAATTTACAAAATTTGGAATTTCATGTATAACACAAACTACACAAACTTGCAGCAGTGGCGTTAATGCTATATTTCAGTACTTTCTTTTATTATTTAAGGTACATATGTCACTTCCATGGTCAGCCGGATTATCCATGTATGATCACTTTAATCCCTTTAATCTCTGGGGTCACTGAAAAATCTTTAGCAATTGCAACAATTTTATGGAAACAACTCTTCAACCATCCAATGCAGCCATCCTTGCAAGAGCAATCACCAAGATAAACTTAAGATCTACGTTTACATACACCTGCTCATATAATTCACATGGCTGGACTTTTTTGAGTTTGCTGTAGTGAGTGAAGCAGTCATACTGAACCAATGTTTGAAATGAGCAATTGGTAACTTTGGTGATTTATCCTCATTGATCTCTAAATTTTTGGTAATAGTGTGTTGCTGAAATGTTTTTAAAAATGAGAAAGTCATTATACTGTTCCTGATGGAAGATGACATTGTCGAATCCCTGCTGAATTGCACTAAATGGCATTGATTAACAAACAATAATTGTAATTAGTAATATCAGATCTAGCCTTCCCTCCAGTGGTAGTTTAAGTGATTCTTGGTCTTTTGTTTTAAGCTATTTTGAGCTATCAAAATGGCACATTGTTCCAGTATAGAATTCCTTACAATAAAATCATGTTCAAGTATATATAACTATTTTTCCTTCTTGATTAATATAAATTTTTTTATTAGACAGTTTTAAAAATGATGAATGGATGAATGAATAGACAAATACATAAATGTCACTTTAATTTAAAATCTTAAAATCCAAATAATTGACACTGATGTGAAAGCGGGGAAAATAGTGTTGGTGTAGTTCCTGTGGCTAGAACCTATTTTTGTGGTCCAATTTCTTGAGGACATCTTATGATTAAGAGGAATGTCAAATTTTGTACTGGTCAAATTCTTAAGATTTACTTGTTCATAATATTTGTGGTTTCTTAGGAATACAATGGAGGGTTGCTCCATAAAGAGGAAGTTATGTTAAGAAAGGCATTGTATGCCTCACTGGTTGATTCCAAGAAGCCCTCACCAAACAAGCCTTCTTGCGGCAGTCATTCAGTTTGTGAGACAGCAGGCAATAATGGCTCTCAAGACGTCACCGGTGTAACTTGCAGTGGAGACAAAAAGAGTAACAAACAGTGTAGCACTTTTGAGGAGTGCAGCAACTGGAATGGTACCAGTGAATCTGAGCCACTTATCACTGAAAAGACCGTTGACTCTGAAATGCAAAAGAAGATCAAGGAACCAAGCAAACTTCTTAATTATGTTATCAAGAAGAAAAAGGAGAAAAGAACCAATCCAAAAACGTTATTTAGGACTGTGTCTTCAACAAAATTTCCAGGAAGAGGGGAAGGAAGTTTATTGTCTCAGAATGGTAAAGCAAAAAAGCGAAGGAGACAGAGAGGAGCACTTGCAGTATTTGTTGCAATGAATAAGTCTGCTGGCCGAAAAATGAGTAGGGAGCATTTCTTGGAGGCAGATAAAGACCTTTCAACAAGTAAAAGGAAGAGAAGACGAAAGAGGAGGGAGGTTAAAACTCAAATCTTTAATGAAGCAGATACTGAAAGTGAGGAGTTGCCATTAAAGAAATCCAAGAGTGAAGAGAACAAGTAGGTGTATTGTATTATGGATTTATAATCATGGACTGCAGTAAATATCAGAAGTTACACAGTGTGTCTTACAAAACACACAGGAACTTGACAAAAAATCCATGTGATGTACATGCAATGACATGTTTCTTTTGGCAACACTTTCAAAAAAGAGTGGCTGGAAGAGTGTTGTGTGTTGTTTTGGCTGTGAGTAAGCTATAAATCCCAGGGGTGGGGGGTACTCCCATAATGGTTTATAGACGGAGGCAACAGGCAAAAGAGGTACTTTTTCAGGCTTCAGGTATACGAAAGGTAGGGATTTCACTAGTTGAAGTACATGTATGTGAAAGGGTAGGCAGGGTGCAAAGAAAGTCAGTTTTACCACTTGCCATTCGGGCAAGCTGTAGCTAGCATGTACTAGCCCACAAGTTATTTCAACTAGCTCCAAAACCCTTTTTGATTAGCAGGATTGATTACAATCCTTCTGTAATTTGAATTCCCCGCCAAAAAAGCACTTGCCTATCGGGCAAGTTAAGAACAAAAATCACTAGCCCAATAGCAAAATCCACTAGCCCCGGGCTATCGGACACGACTTTCTTTGCACGCTGGTAGGGAGATCTGTCATTGCAGTCTGTGATAGGACCTAAAGCTGCTAACAGGCACATTATATGGCTGTGATAAAGACACATTGGAAAACTCTCTGGTTTAATGATTTATTCATATTTACATTTGTAAAAGACGGTGTATTTGCAGAAGTAGTTAAAAGGGATGCAGCTTTCTTAGTCAACTAGTACAGTGTGGGAAAGGGGCACCATTTGTCAATAACACGTAAATGAAAGGGGTACACCTAAAACATAATTGAGTACCCCCTCCCCCTGATTATGATTGGGACCTACAAATATAACTTTCATTTACATGTAACTGACATTTTATTATTATTTTTTTAAAATTGTAGAGCAGCCTGCAGAGTAGTCCAAGCACAGCGGAAATTTGCAAAGTCACATCCAATGAGTCCAACTAGGTAGGAAGTGTTTTTTTATCACTTTGTGTTCAGATTAATTAATCTTATTCTTTGCCATAATAACTACGGTTTTGAAATCTCATACCAAGATTTTATGTGCATTGAAGACAAATTACTGCAAATGCAGCATTTTCTTTTAATGCCTGTATAATTTTTAACCTACTGAAAGTCCAAAGAAGGTGGTATACAATTTAACTGGACTAATATGGTAAAATGGCGGCAGGGCAGAACAAAGGAAAGAGAGCTTGCAACTACGTCTCTGGAATTTGAACTCCACCTCCAATTCCCCTGTGGCTCCCCATCAACTGAGCTATCAGATTTCCGCCAATCAGCGTAAAGCAAGAACGAGCGAGAATGTAAACAGACATTGAAAAACATGTGCCAAGGGTAATGACGTCATTACTTATGTCATCTCTGCCAATCAACATTTTGCATCGACTTTTTTGATGCAGATATCGAAATTCCAGAGAGCTAGTTGCAAGCTCTCCTTCCTTTACCGCCACACCGCCAGAGCGCCTTGGAGAGCTTACTCACAGGCTATGGTAAATGCATTGTTTATAGTTTAAGTGCACTTAGCTGCTCTATTTACAATCATGGACAAAAATCTTGGGACAAATTTGTATTTTATGTGGTATCATTACATGTAATCCACACATGCCCAACCCCTTAGCCAACTCACATACACTGTTGATCAGTGTATCTGTTGTGGTTTAAATTTGTCCTTGGTTAAAAATTTTTCAAACCAATTTTTGTTTTTCTTTGTCTCTGATTATGGTAACTGATTTTAGACAAAGGAAAGTAAAAATTAAACTGGTTTGAAAAATTTTAAACCAAGGAAAAATTTGAACCACAACATATCCACCATTTTTCCTGAGTTTCTATGTTGTACTGAGGGTGGGGGAGGGAGAAACCGCAAGGCATTTGTAAACAGATAGCACTGCTACATGATGGTACATGGAAATAATTTTACAAATTAAGTCACTATACAAGGTCTTTTGTTCACGATGAGATAGATTACAGGCACTTTGCTCAATTTTAATTTGTAACTAGTAATGAAAATATAACAGGGTAAACCCTTTAAGTCCCAAGGTTGATTGTCAACATCAACTTTCTCCTCACAATGTCAATACATAATCAAGAGAAAAGGTTAGGAGAGTTGATAAAATTATCACCAAAGGTAAATGGATTTTTCTTTGATCAGTTCTCCTAAATACTTCTTTGAGGAAATGTATGGAGATCAGTCTGGAGAATGAAGGCTGATTCAGCAACAGAATGTGAACGTCATTTGATGACAGGAAAGCACGCAGAAAGGACTAAAATCAACTTCCGGTGCCCAATTTGCCTCTCTGGCATTAATAAAGCCTGTTGTTTGATTTGCACACGTAGTCATCAACTGATGTTCCTGTTCTGTTGCTAAATCAGCCTTGTATGTGGATATTGGGGGTTAATGAGTTAAAAACCAGAGCTGGCAGGAGGCAACAAGTTTTCTATCTGCAAGCATGCCATGGAATTGTACTGGGGAACTAGCTACCTATACTAGTGGTCAGAGCAAGGCTCTGAAACTGTACTGATGGTAACTCCATACTTTGGTCACTCACTCAGTAATTAAAATGATTTGCATGTATTTTGTTTTTAACCAGCGCTAGATCACATGAAAAGCGAAATATGCTCTCAAGCACTTGTACATCACGAGCCAAGACAGAAGATTTCTTGACCTTTCTTTGCTTAAGAAGTGAGTAAATTTGTGCATCAAGGATTTTGCCTGTCAGTGTCAAACTATATTATATATTAAATATTATTTATGGTAATCATTTGTAATGTACTATATCCTTTCAAGTCACTAGCCTTACTCATTACAAATAGGTGCAGAAGGGAAATGTGATGGGTTACTGTAAGTTTTGGATATAGCTGTTGGGGGAATTGATTTTACTTGTATGAATGCCATGTTTCCTCTGTTATTATTACCACTAGGAATATGAGTCCCACTAGCTCAGCTCATGCGTTATTTCCTTATAAAAAGCTTGTTGTTTCAATGAGGGGCATGGGCTGACCCACTTGTCAAGATCTTAATTCGATTTTTTTGGACAGGAGTTGTGTTTTGGCCGATGTTGAAAGTGCTGAGGAAGCACTTGATGTATTGTTTGGGGGGAAGGAGAGGTAAAATCAGGGAACTCACTATGCTATACATCAATTAATTTTCAAAACATGGATGTAAGAGAGAGAGGACATTCCTGATTTTTTCTTACTGTCCCTTCACTGATTTTGAGCTACCATAAACACAAATGTAGTACACAGATCAATCCTAATCCCATTGAAGCTCTTTAAAATACGTCTCTTCAAACATTCTATTCCTAAATTAAAAAAACACAGGTCAAGCAAAGAAATTGCAGCGCAATTTAAAGTCCCTTTTTCCCCAAGACAATCACAATAGGGGCTTGTTTACGTTCTTTAAATTCCAGGTTATTGATCATGTTTTTCCAAAGCGAGCTGTTAGAGCCCCATCATGAAAAAAAAATTGGCCATGCCCCTGAACATTCCTTTGTTAACTTGTTGCAGATCATCCTGTCTTACCCAAGGAGCTGGAGAAATTCAACAATCCTTATCTGCCAATGTCCCCATTATCTGACGAGGAAGAGAACAATAATTCCTTACCACCCTCCCCGTCACCCTCCCCGTCAATGTCAAATTCCTCAAATCTGTCAAGCACCGTGCACAAGTCATTTTCTGACTCACCTGTCCCATCGGTGGATAGCCCGGCCACTGGTGAGGGACCCTCGTGGGAAAGTGGTGTGGTGAGAATGTATGCAGATGGTCCCAAGGGGCTGGCTGGAAAGGGAAAGGAGTCAAAGAAATATGACGAGCTTCTGCCTAGTGATGACGCTGATGTAAGTGATTGGTTTTTCTTGATGTGTGAGTATTAGATGCAGAACAGTGGAATCTAAGCTCCTTCAGGTTGACCATTCGCGTTCGTTTTGATTAGTAAATGTGATGAACTGCTTTCACCTAACAGTTTTTCTGTTCTTCTATGGCCTGGAGACAAATAGCCTGTTCCAGACCCTCTGTAGTAGGGATGAGTGGAAAGAAAAGCAAGCACACACACAAAAACACAAAAAACAAAAAGAACAGACAAGAACTGATTTTCACCTATCCTGACTAACACAGTGTCTGGAATAGGCTAGAAGAGCAGGTACACTGTGTTGTGAAAGGTGCAAACTTCATATTATACCTTGCATTCATCAGTATTATTTATTTTTAAAGCTCACAGTCATTTTCACGTACAGTCATGTCCTGCCAGACATGAACTATACTTAAAGTATTCATATGCATGAGGCAACATTGTACTATATAAACTTAATTTGAAATATTGTGATCTATCCATAAATTTGCAATCTTCTTGTTGGTTTTTAACTCTAAGTGACAAGTTTAGTTGGAGTGATAAACACTTTGCATTTGTGTCTCAATTTGTTTGGCTGTTGTTCTCTTCAGAACATTTCTTCTTTTTTTTTACTTGTTATCCCTGCAGGCTACTGCAAGGATACATATTTGCTATCGTTAGGTTGCCTGGAAAAACTGTAAAATATTATGAGCCTGCACAATAAACTTGTATGACATAATATCTGAGCTTTCAACCTGACTTTTTAAAAACAAGGAACTGTTACGTCCTACAAAGCATTTAGGACCTACCATGCAAAATATAAATTGAGAGGTATCTATTTAAATAATCTGAAAAAGCTGAGCTTGCCTAATACAATAATTTTTGTACCTGCTTAACAAACTTAATAAAATACCCAAATTCAGTTCAAACTTTTTTGCTCAGACCATGTGACCATGGATAATAGAAGGACTGGTATTTTCCATGCTCGGACAAGAATGAAGCCTTACTTTCCATGCTTATTACTCAAGGTACAAATACAAACCCCTGTGTTCAGGTGCGCAGAAGGCCCCTCACTGTTTAGCTTCTTTTAGTAATGTGTTGTTAGCTTCAAGATTCAAATTACGAGAAAAGTTTAAAGGTGCACGATGATGCTGACAAAACCTAACACATGTGTAGAGATTTCGCCTAAAGCAATGTCATTATGCTTCCATTGGTTTTTATATTTATGCTGTTCCTTGTTCATGAAATTAAGGAGTCCTCTATGAGTAGCTTCTACTCTCGGTTACTGTTCGTTTATTTAAAGGTTTTCCAGTTGCTCTACATTTATTTAAAACATTGTGAATTGCAGATTCATTAAACAGGTCTATACTATTTTATAGCCTATGTTATATCAGTTGAATCTACTAAGGCCTAATACTGAACTTGTATGTGAAGAGAGACGAAGTGCTCAATATTGTGATCATGCTTTACGTATTCAACATTCGTCTGTCAACGACTTACTTAAGAAAGCTGGTTTACTAACTTTAGAACAAACGCCACTGAATCGTAGTCAATAGTTACCGGCACCACACAAACGACTTAGTGACGGACTCAAGCAAAACTGACGACGATAGAATGACTGTACAACCGACGAAAAAGAAAAAAAGATTTTAAAACAATTTTGAAATATTTTTAAACTTTTTAATCTGTGGCAAAATACGGGTCATAATACACCAATGGCATTTAGAGTCTTCATAGTCAATAAAATCACGGCTTCACTGACAGACGACCAATAACATCGCAACTTAATTGGCTAATCAGGTCAATAGCCAGAGTTAAATACCATCAACTGACGTTGCCTGCGATCACCACCTCACGGTTTGTTAAAACGTCAGTCAATTTCAACAACCTTGAAGATTATATTCCACCCACTTATGATTCTGATTATTGTGCGTTTTTCAAGGCGAGTCCTGGTGCTCATCCTTTCTCATGAAAAATCAGTTCTGAAACATTTCACCCATGTGAAAATGGTGAACAATATGAATAATGAAATGGCTGTACAGTTTTTCGCTTAATTTAATTTAATTTCGAGACCTACAAAAGCGACCTCATTCTTTCGTAAAATGGCCATAAAACCATGGAGACTGCGGTCGTTTCTGCTAGAATAATTCTTGTGTTAATAAGCATGTTTGAAATACGAGAAAGTATGTGTCCCCTTCAAAAATTTTGGTTACGTGTTCCTATAATTTGTAGTGGTTTTCCTGGGCAGCCGTTATTGGGGTCGTCATGCAACGCTGCTTCCCAAGAGGAGCCTTGTGTGATGATTCAAACGGCGGCTGCTTAGAGGACAAATGCAAATAGTGGAAGTTTGCTAATTAATGCGCAGCGAGTGTAAGACGACGCTCGTCGAGTTTTGTTCAATTCCCATGGGATTCGTTTTCCTTTGTAGACCGCCCAATCTTAATCTAAGACCCTGTTTACATGGAGTGGGGGACCCCGGTCTAGTGGGGTACATTTCTTTTGTTTTGTGTCCTCCAGAGCGTGAAAACAAAAGAAACCAACCCCACCAGACCGGGGTCCCCCACTCCATGTAAACAGGCCCTTAGTTCCTACATAAAATTACAATTAAGTTACAAAACGTTCGAAGAGTGTGCTCTTTCGCACGCCGCTGTGTTCTATTAGATTTCAATGTGAAATGTGTTTTTTGAATTTAGACAGTATTCAGCATGGTGAACGTCCTCTGCTTTATAAACTAGTTGTTCATTTTGGCAGCTTTTGCATTTTTTAAGCAATTCGTGTCGTTCATAATTGTTGTTGTTATCTTTATAGGACCCGAGAGAATTCACCAAGTCTGTGACACCTCCGCTTTCTTTTCGAGTATCCTCTCGCCCAACAAACTGCTCGGTTTACAAGACAGGAAACAAGCAGCTACCGAGGCCTATCCCAAAGCCATTCGCCGTCAAGCCTTCAATTACTAGTGTTTCAATGAGTAAAACTGCATTGTACCCCACGGATACCAAAAGTACAGGGGATACCGGCAATCCTTCTTCCCCGTTGTCGCATCTCTCGGAATCGGTTAATTCGCCGCCTCCACCTCCTTTGTTGTACATCCCCGCTGCTGCACAGAGGGTAACTCATCTCCACGAACCTCCTATTTTGCAGCGTTTTCCCTCAACTTCCCCTTCGCGCGAGCAAGAAAGCGACGGAGGATCAGAACTTCGTCGGTTGTCAGTCGATCGGAATGATGGACCGCCACCTTTAAAGAGGTTTCCTCCTGTTGTTTTAGAGCATGAAAATTCAGAGAAGGATTTTGAAGCTGTAAAAAGTAGTACGGATATGCCCTTTTTAACGCAAAAGGGTTCTTCAGATTTTCGTCCAGTTTTGTCAAGGTCCCCAAATGGACACGAATTACAGGCCATTTCGTCGGCTGCACTGACAACAAGTGGAAAATCAAGCAGCTCACTTTGCGATTTGACCAAAATCTCGCAGATGGAAAGAGAGGTAGACGGGACTACTTCGCGTTGGAGAAACAGAGAGATGCCCCTTTTGAGGAGGCATTCTTCCGCGACTGAGGGTACCGTCTGCTTTGAAGAGCTAGTGAAATTTCCCGGAAGTTCGCGGACGATCAACTCTAGTAGCAGCCCACCTCAGCTTCAACGCGTGCCCGCGATGAAAGACGCTGACAAACATACACGTCTTAGTCCCCTTGAAACTGCAGACGTCGATGGTGTACCTGGAACTTCCGCCGGTGGTTTCGATACGTCCACTGCTAGTCATGAATCTTCCAGTCGGGTTTTTGGAACTTCAGGTAGTCGAATAGACAGTTCCGATGGTCGACTTGGATCTTCCGGAAGTCCTCTTCCAGCTTCCATTGGTCTTCTTGAAACCTCCCATAGGCGACATGAAGTCTTTCACCCTGAAAATTCCGCTTCTCGACTAGTTGGTTTCGATGGTCTTCTCTCGTCTAACTTGTCATCTCATCCTCCTAGACTTGTAAGGCACCCAACATCCAGACCAAGCTTTCTTGAAAAAAACCCGAATGTAACATCACTTCAAAACGATACAGTATCTCCTGGTATTGCTAATCAAAGGCAGGCTTCACCACTTGCGTTTCCTACTAACAGAAGAAGTGCGCAGTCATTTCAAGAAAGTCATTACTCAAGATCCATTCCAATTGCTGAAACGCTCCCCGTCACTGCGAGACAGTCTCCTGTATTTGCTTCTGGTAAAGACAGGTATAAAAGTACTTACGTCTTTGCAACCCGGCAAACGATTCTACAGCCTGAAAATGAACCGAGCCCTGTAAAAGTGAGTTCTTTATTTTTGCCAGGCAAGAACTATGTTGGTTTGACGCCCGTCCACGGCAGGGTGCATTCGGTGCGACACCTTCAATCAATTAGTGGCTTGAACCAGTCGGATGAAAGGCGATTTTCACCACGCTCGATACAGAATCACTATTCAGGGCCCCGTAGTCATCAATCGCACGTAAACTTAAACAACACGAATGCGGGTTTGTCGTTGGCAAACAAGCATTTTAACACTTCTGAGGGATCAACGAGAATACCCTCTCCAAGATCAGACTTGCTTAGCAGATTATCGCACGAACCTTTGAACGGTTCGTGTGTGTCTCGCGTTAATGACCTCTCTTCGGAGTCCTCGTCCTTCCGAAATCGACCGATGGGTATTCGATCGAATGTTCCGCACCTCGTTAACACGCCCGAATGCTTCCCTCCTGCATGGTCACACTTAGAATCACCTTACTCTCTTCCGTCTGTAGCCTCTAGAAATACTCCCCCTAAACCGTACACTTTGTCCGTGAACTTACCTTCTCCTTTCTCTTCTGATCACACCGACGCACAATCTGCTGAGTCACGATCGAATTCGAACACGCCAGTTTTAGAAGGTTATTCCCTGGCTCAAGTTCGAACAAGCGATCAACAACAAGTTCGTGTTATCGAGCGCGCAGAGCGCTATTCAGGCGCAGCTGAAAATTACAGAAACTATGACTTGCCCAATGCATTCCAAAACGCGATTGTCCCGCATAGCGTGAGGGCAAACAATATCTTCAATGAATCCGGGTGCTCTGACACTTCAGTCAGTGATCGGACAGTCTCTCGACCATATCTTAACGATCAAAGAACAGGCGATGCGAACATGGAAAACTCATGCCCAATACTCCAACGCGTCGAAATTCCAGCAAAAACTACAGTTTCGAAATCAAACAATCTTAGCAGGGGTACTCCAAGCCCAGTAGCTCGTCAAACTGAACTTCAAGCACACACATCGTCTTCGAAATCACCAAACTTTAAAGGAAAGAAAAACAGCCTTATTACTGACTCTAACAAGCCTTGCAAATCTCCAAAGACAACAGGCACGGATATTCCAGGCTCCAAACAAAAGACAGCAATTTGTTCATCGTTGGACAAGGCTAAGGATTCGCCCATGTTTTATCCCACTGAGGAAGAATTCAAAGATCCCGCCGCCTACATTAAAATAATACGTCACGAAGCTGAGAGGTTCGGTGTATGCGTCATTGTTCCACCAGAGTCATGGAAGGTTTGTTTTTGTTTGTTTGTTTTACTCTTGTTTACATTAGACAGCAGTTAATTTAAGAGACTTGAAGCGAACAACTAAGGAGCAAACCATTTAAGGGAGTTGGCGGCTGGGTGACTTGGTTTGCCCAGCAATTTTTCCTAGCCTTTATGGTGGGCGCAAAAAGGGGAGGGGAGGTGGAGAGATAGAAAAACGGGAAAGCGTTCTCTCCCCAATTCCCCTCACTTTTTCCCTTCCTCCCAATCCCCTACCCCTTTCGACGCCAGCTAATTTTTCTTTTTTCCCCGAAACATACCGACGCGCGCGAGAAAAATACCCCTGGTACCAAGGGTAGCCAGTCCTCGAAAACTGGACCAATTTTTGTCAAACGTCCAAAAACATACTAGCACCGCAAATTGATCAATTTTAGCACAATACTGGGCGCTGCGCAAAAACTAGTTTTTAATGAAGTCGCTTGGTTTTGATGCTAAATTTTCTTCTGTATTGTATTCTTTATTGACATGCACAATTGAAAACATGGGCGGACTCAATTTTTTGTTATAGCATCTGGATATTTATACCGCACCTTTCTTCTTTGTTTTTTAACTTTAGCCCGAGTTTCAGATTTCTGACAATTTGAGGTTTGTTAGCGAGTGTCAACTGATTCACAGACTTCAGGAGAGGTGAGTTCAAATTATCACCTTTATCTGATGAAAGTCGTCAATGCTCTGAAAAGTACCTATCTCACGTGTTGTTTCTAGTTCAAATATTGTGAGCAGAATTTTAGGGTCTTGTTCTGTTGGAAGCATCGGGTACTGTATTTGCAAAAGGCAAAAAAAAAAAAAGCGAACAACTGTACATTCAATTTGTTGTTCTGTAGAGCTTACAAAATACCGTTAAATTCCGAAAATAGGCCCTCGGGCTTATATTTTTCAATAGAATGTTCACAGTCCCCTATTTTTTCGTGAGATCGTTTAGATATAACGCGTCTTACCGTCACGGGTATCTGGAGGGGGCGGGCGTCGGGGATTATAGCTCAAACAGCCCCCGCCCCCTAAGTAGTTTTGACACTCATGCAAGATGGCAGCCCGTAACGCAAGGTGCTCGATCTCGACGATCTTACGGAAAAATAGAGGACTGTCAACAGTCTAATTTTTCAAAGGCCCTTTTTGGGGGGCTTATTTTTTGGAGGGGCTTATGTATGGAGGGAAATTTGCGTTGCAAAATCGATTGGGCTAGCCTTATTCTTAGAAGGAAATTAACCGTTTTTCTTTGTTTTACTTTGTATTTGAGGGCAATTTCCAAATACAAGCCCCCCTTATATTTGGAGGGGGCTTATTTTCGGAATTTTACGGTAGTCCATTTCTCACATCAAAGTGAATGAATTTAACACTAGTGCGGCTATATATCACCCCCTTATCTAGAATCCTTCCCTGACTTTCAGCACAGTTTGCGGGGCTTTTCTCAACATGTAATTCGCTGTGTCTTTGTTAAGACGGAATCCATTAGGAAATTGAGTAATTTTAATTTTCAGTGGACAAAAACCTTGTACCAGAATATTTTAAGCCATGTCGCAATCTTTTTTATATTTTTTAAGGGCAATAGATGTAATTAGGTTTATGTAATAACACCAAAGACAATTTCTTATGGGAGCCCGGGAAATTGATTTCAAATTTCACAGGAATTGAAACAAAGGTAAAATGGTCGTGTGTAAAATTTCGCTTTGTTTAATTGGAAGCTTTTGAAGTTTATTTTCTCGGGCTCCCATAAGAACCTTTCCTTTGGAGTTATTTCATATAACTTATTAGATAAGCGTAAAAAAGAATGCAATATGCTTGAAATTATTCTGGTACAAGGTTTTTGTCCACTGAAAGTTGAAATTACTCAATTTCCTGATGGATTCCATCTTAATATTAATCTTAAGACTCAGTGAACGTACACGTCCTTTACCACGACTGGCCGGCTTAGCCCTGGCCTGAACCTTTTTCATGGCAAAAATCTAGTCCGCCTAGAGAAGAGGGGTGCCCTAAGCAAGTAGATTGGCAGTCCAGAACCTTTAGTCTGTCCACCATGTAAACCTATCAATTCGTTGGCTCTGCTAGGGTAGCGCGATTACCTAGGGCACCAACCCCTCCCCCCCCCCCCATCTCTTCCTTTTTTTATTTTCCACTGTTTGTTTCAAATCGCCAGATGGGGTCCCGTGGAAGAGGAAATGGCGTGTATCAGGAAACATCTCGACCAGCAATCTATCCCTTTAGAACCCATGCCTCAGGTAATGACCTCAAGGCCTAGTAGACTTCATGGCCGACACCTGCGATGCCAAGGTTGCAAGCCTAGCACAAGTAGAAGGATATCTGGCTTATATTTGCGCTTATGCTTGCGTCTCTGCGTCATACAGTTGACTCCCAATAACTCGAACCTCCCGCTAACTCGAAGAAATTTTTGCTTCCCCTCAGGTCATTCCGGACCTATATAATTTTACCCTCGATACCTCGAACCATGTTTTGAACGCTTAAAAAGTCGGGGAAAAACTGTGCACTGGCGTTCGAAACATTTGATTTTCAAGTCGCATTGACGTGTTGTAGACATGCAGTTTACTAGTGGAGGCTGATGTTGTGTGTCACAAATCTAACGTGAAGCAGCTTTACTTTTTAAAACAGTAAAACGCGTGCTCTATGTGGGCTATGTTTTGTTCCGTTACGGTCTCGGATTTATAACTGATCTAAAAGTATCTTTCAATTTTCACTTAACATTTCTAGAATAAATGTGATTAAAATGCTCACCTTACAGTAAAAACTGTTTTTTTACCTTCCTTTAGGCTATTTTCTTCGAGCTCCCGATAACTCGAACTTTTTTCGATTTCCCTTGAAGGTTCGAGTTATCGGGAGTGGACTGTACTTCCAACCAGCCTTTGGAGAATTTTAACAAAAACTATTTAAACCAGGACTTGCCGCCTTTTACGATCGGATTCTCAAATCATCCATCGCAGTTATAATCGTAATTCAGGCAACTGCAAATTAAACCCCGAAAAAATAACTTTTCAGGGCTGCAGTGCTCTACCAACTGAGCTATGAGGACCCATATAATTATTGAGGGCAGGCCAATTTGTTGAGTTCAATGAAACATATCTAATGGTTATTTTATCAAGGTTAAGACTGATATGGCCATCGCAGTTGTAATCTTAAGCCAAATAAAACTCTGATTGGATGGTTGAATAGTATGGCCAGTAGTTTTTAATTCTCCTACAAAGTGCTGGATTCCTGCACTCTTAAATGAAGTCTATTGACTCTTTGTCTTGTCTCACAGATAGGAGGATTGGAACTAGATCTTCCTCATTTCTCCAGAGTGGTGAAACAATTCGGAGGACTCCAAAAGGTAAAATTAGTATTCTTTATCTGCCTAATCTGATTAAAGACTGCCTCCTCAAAGCACATGCAGGTCGTGAAGTCGCTATCTTCTTCTTCGTTTGTAGGTTATCGATAGCAGAAAGTGGGCAAGAGTCGCAGAAATATTGAAAGTACCTCGAGCGGTAAGTCCTTCCTTTGACTTTGATGTGTTTGAGGTGGGGGTTCGTTAAAACATTGCACTTATGAGATCTGAACGGCCTTGGATTTGACCCTCGGTCGTGCCAGCGTTTTGTTTCCTTAGACAAGAAACTTGCTTCACATTGTCGCTCTATATCTGAGAATACGGCCATAGTCAAAATTTGTCAAAGTTTGTAAACTGCCGAAAAATAAATAGGACCATGTGAAAGTACTGGCAAAGAGGTTTCATTAGAATGGTCACAACGCTGAATTTTGTCCACAATCGCAAAAGCTAGAACCTCCGTAAAGACTCCATCTGGACCCCATGATCGATGTTCTTTTAGCTGACGTGTTTGGTTCTGTTTCTTTCAGGCTCAAGACCGAATTGGGAAGCTTCAGGATATCTACTGCAAATATTTGCTCTCCTACGATCTCCTACCACAGGTAAATTGATCTTCACGGGACAAACATTTCTTCTTAATTATTGAGTAATCAACTGATAACTTAGCACTGTCTCTATCTTCAGGATGACAAAGCTGAACTGCTGCGACAGGTTCATCTAGAAAGGGAACGAAAGGTTGACTGTGGTATGTCAGTTTCACATTTTGGCGTAAATTTCTGTGGTCAGTAAGAGTATACAACATGGAAAATTGTTGTCGATTTGTTGTACCCAAGAAGGTTATCACAGCATTGGTCTTAGTCCACAGTCCTAAAGGTAGAATTGCTCGGCGTTGCTGTTAATAGATTCTGGCGGGGGTGGGGGGGCGGGGAATAAGTGAAAGAAACGCTTGTCTGCAAATGAGGGTTTGAGTGGGTGGAGGTCTTATCATATGAATTAGAGAAAAATGTCGCTTTTGGGCGGAGCCGCAGGGAAGGAATCTGTAGTGACGAAACAGTTAAAGACTTTCAAAGAAATGCGATCTAAATGGGAAGACCGGCTCTCCGAGCGTGAACTCGGGCTTGAAGAGTAGGAATTTGGCGAAAACAAATCGGATCGGATTTAGCGCTAAATGTGCGCTTTAAGGCTATGATTTGATTCTAAATCCAGTTTGCCAGTTTGGAGGTCGAGGTAATCGAAGATCTCCGTGTCTCCTTGGGCGTTTTTGTCTCTCTTCGCCGCATGGCGTTTAAAGGCCAGTACAATGTTTCGTGTGTGTGTTTGGCAAATAAAAGGAAGGTAAAATTTTAAACGATGAAAAATACATCGAGTGCATTTTAAATTATACCAGAGTTATGGGGACGTTGGAAACTTCGTTTGGTTGGTGCATACTCGTTGCTGAATCCCTATTACCATATTCCATTGTTGTAAGAAAGGATCACTTTCTTTTAAATTTTAAAAGCTCGTTTTCAATCTGATAGTTGAGTTACGACCAACTTAGATTGTTTTTGTTCTTGCAGAACAAGGCACGGACACGTGGTCTGTCAAGGTACACATTAATTATCGTACTTTTTGTTTGAATTAAGCATCGTTTAAACTCATGGCTATCGTGTTAAAGCTTTAGACAAAGAAACTCTTTCACTAAGTATTGTACGATTTTTTTTAGGGCCGCAATTTCTCCTTGGTACCGTTTCAACGACTTGCTCGAAATGTGCAAGGACATTTCTTCAAGAATTCCCCATCTGCGAACGACGTAGAGGTAAATGATGTTTTTCTGCACAAAATCAAAGAAATAAACCAAATATCATAGGAGCAAACAGACCACGAAAACGAACTTCCAACTGTCAACACTCTAACCTACTCGCCTCTCTGTACTTCAAACAATCCCTTCCTCTGTGATACCAACACCTCTGTAATGCGGGAAGTTGAGTCTCTCCCGCCATCCTTTAGTGTCCGTATTTAGGAGGTTGGACGGTATGTTCTCACAAGACAAGCTTCATGGTTTGAAATAGAAAAAATCAGTGGCACACCGCTCCAGAAGGATACTCTAATGTTTTTCTTGTTATTTTCTACAGAAAGAGTTCTGGAAGGTTGTCAACGACCGTGAAACCTACGTCTCTGTTCACCGAGGAACACTGGATACAAATCAGGAACACAGTTGTTTTCCAACTGACAAAGGAGATCCGTATTCGAAGTAAGCAACACTTCTATTGGAAATGCAAATTTTGTAAAAGTATCTGTAATTCCAAGAACATCTCTTTTTCTTTCTTTTTTTTAGAATTGGCTGGAATTTAAACGTCCTTCCTCATTTACCTAGTTCAGTATTAAAGCATGTGGGACTTCTTCAAGGTAAGAAAATAATTGAGGGCAGGTTACAAAAGAGTATAATTAGCTACTTTTTAAGCATGTTATTTTACTTCACCAGTACAATTTGTTTGTGCAAAAATTGTTGTCTGTGACCCAGTTTACTCGGGTCCAGATAAATTTTTGAACGGAGAAAAACTTGCACGGTTCCACCTTTCGTTCACACAGGACTCGCGGAACCGTGCAACTTTTTGAACGGCAAACAGTAATTCAATCTGTAACATTATTTGTAAGGTTCCGTGTAAACGGGGTGTGTAAAACAAAAATCATATCATGCCTGTGAAAACGACTGAAGACTTTTATGGGTCCTCTGTATAGTTATTGCTTTAGGATCAATGAGGTGCATAAGTGGTTTCGGCTCTAAACAAATTTTCGTGTTTATTTCAGATGTAACGATACCCTGGCTTCAGTTTGATATGTTGTTCTCTGTAAAGCCGTGGCAGACGCATCCTCTTGCACTGTACACAATAGACTATCTCCACAGTGGCGCTGAGAAAATCTGGTGAGAAAATCAAAGCTTTTTTTATTAGTCAGTACTACAAATGTAATATATATATATATCTTTTAATTTAAAAGTTGTTGCCCCAGTTCGCCTTGATGAAAACAATGGTTTTTTCTATTTTTGCTTGCAGTGGCCTAAATCTCCTAAATGTGCAACTGCCGTAAATGGCCACTTATAAGCCCAAGGCTTATGCTTCTTCGTAAAGGGTTTTACATCCGAGGGGGGCTTATTTTAACCGGAATAGAAAACGCGCTTGCAAACAAGTTACAACAGTGCTGCATAAAAATACGTTTTGCCAGTATATCAAACTCATTTCAATGCATTTGGAGGGGGCTTATATCCAGTGGAGCTTATAAGCGGCAATTTGAGGTCTTATACTGTGAAGAAATGTGTCCAAACTGATTGCCTGTTGTTTAATTGTATCTTAGGTACAGCATTCCTGTAGGAGAAAGAAAGAACCTCGCCTCTTTTTACGGACACGATGTTGAATCTGCGGAAACATCACTCGCGGATAAGATGGTAAGTATTACTCTCCCCCCAACTGAGATCAACCTCTCCTTAGCAGTTGCGACAGGCTACTTAAAGGAGCTATGTCACACTATTTATCATCTTTTTAAAAAGCTAAAGCTATTCGTTGCATCAATTGAATTCCAAAAATAACTGTCCAGTCTTGTTGTTTAAGACCATATTTCGGCATTGAAACTGTTTCATGTAGGCTGTAGCCTGCGTGCAAGCTTTCCATTCGGGGGATATCGTGAAAAGTAGACGCGCGAGAGGCACGCGCTTCGCCGCTCGCTCGCGCGTTCTCCCGCGGCTCACTTCGCTTGCCCAAATAGGAGAGCTTGCTCGTAGGCTATGTCGTCTGTTGCAACAGGTGGCATAGATGAAAATGAATTGAAACTGTTTTAATGCTGTGCCTGCAAAAATCACCATAAGGATTAGTATTGGTAACAGGACTGAGTGGAGTCCAATTCGGTCTGTAATCATGCGAGTGATTAACAGAATCGGACGACCGCGTAGCGGGAGTCCGATTTGTTTAATCACGAGTATGATTACAGACTGAATTGGACGACACGAAGTTCTGTTACCAATTAATCATAACTTTAACAAAATTTGTGATAGAATAGGCTATTTTTTAAATCAAAACACGAGGAATTCGAAATTTTGTTTTGCTAGCAGTGAAAAAAAAAAGCCATTTAAGCGCGCGTTTGATGGCGCGTACTGTCCAATTACTTAGGCATTACGCGTACTGTCCTATTAAACTGTCCAATTAAGGCTGAAATCAGGGCAGTTGATAGCCAATCAGATTTGACAATTTTGTTATAGTTATGATTATGATGGTTAGTGGTCCCTGGTGAAATTTGTTTCATATCTTCTTCATAACTCTCCCGGAGCATTTTGTGTATTAGTTAAAGGCAATGGCACTAAGAAATGACTTGAGCACAGCACTGACCTAAAACAGTTAAATCCTCGTGACTTATCCCGGTTAAGTTTTTGATATCTTTGTTTATCATACTTATCATGTTATTTCATAACATATTTCAGTTGACATATCATAGTAAATCGTATCACATGGTATCTTATCATATATGTAACAGTTATTTCACGAGTGCGCGTTGGATATGAGAAATCATCTCATATCCAACAAGCGCGAGTAGAATAATTGTTTTATTAAAAAAAAAACACACACAAAATATCGAGAATTCTTTCCGACTTTATTTGTAAAAGCAACCGATTTTCAGCTTGTTTTTAATTTAGAGCGGACGCGTACAGTTACCATATTTGGAGAGCATGGTAAAATGGCTCATATACCATGATGGCCAAGCCAATCAGAGCTCTAGAACTGCGTTATCGAATGATTCAGTTTTTAATAAAATGTGTTATCATGATATACCATGTATCATATCATATCATTTCTTACATCAGGCTTTCAACCAGCATTGTAAACTGGGCATCCAGGAGGCATGTTTTGTCATAAAATTGTGGGACATTAAGCGAATTTTTCTCGAGTATCTTCTAAAACGTGGCGTCCACAAAGGCCTCGACTTCCTTCTAGCTAAAACCTTGCTATCCTTTCAGCTGTGCTGTAGAATGTTCTGTGAATTCTATGCTCTCGTTATGATTAAATATTTACTCTGGTGTTCGTCAGGTCTCTCCCAGCAGCCTAAGTGACGGTAATGTTGCGGTTACTAGAGTGGTGCAGAAAGTAGGACACTTCGTGATCGTCTTCCCTGAAGTAAGCACTAAGCCTGTCTTTACAACCCCCCGTTGATCTCACTTTATACTCGTTTCAATCTCGTTCCAAGGCTCCATCTTCTTCCCTTGTCTCTCTCCCACTCGCTCCAGGGGAGGGAAGGGAAGAAACGAGAGCCTGGGAACGAGATTGCCTCAGCTTCAAAATTAAAGATGGAGGCTCTACTTCGAGGCAGCTAATATCTTGCGCCCGTCGGAAAAAATTGCGTCCACACGGCAGACTAAATACATCCTTACCATATAACGTAAGATTTCCTCATGTTTGCTAGAACGTAAGTTTGGTTTGGAAAATTCCGCCGCAGTACGTGGAATTTATTTGCGAGCGATTTTGATCCAGGTTAGGTGGCTGGGGCCCGTTTCTCTTTAGTCGTAGTAATTCCCCGTTCACGAAAGCTGTTTTGTTTGTATTTTAGAACGAGGTTTCAATAATGGTTTCTATAATTTTGCAGATAATATGATACAGCTATCGGTTAACATAACTTTAACCCTTTCACAAATGCAAATTTTAACTAAATGTTCAAATTTCATTTTCTGAAATTTTTAAAAACAATTAGCACCATGTGTAAGTACAGCTAGAGAGCTTTCATTTGAATGGTCACACCATAGGATTTTGTCCACTTACTCAAAAGTTAAAGTAACCTCGCAAATCTCCATCAAGCACTCTGGCAGTGACAGGGTTAATCTTTTGATTTTTGATTTTAATATATAGCTTTGGGCCCGAAAAGTTACCGCTTCGTCTGAGAAACTGGGCCCTAGTTCGGTTAACGTTTCTCTCGAGGGGAGATGATCTAATTTTCCAGACCTCAAACGGACTGCTATGAATTTTCGTGTGCATTAATAGCGTAACGAATGTTTGCAGGTATATTACAGCAGCGTTAGTTGTGGGTATTCTGTTTCTGAAGCTGTGGCTTTTGCTCCTTCTGACTGGCTGCTGCTTGGTTGTAAAAGATACAAGGTAAGAGTGTTTCTCTCCCCCCCGCCTTCCCGTCTCTCCTCTTTTTTTATTTTCCTTTTTCAGTATTGGCCATTTTAAAGTCGCGCGTGTGACTGGTTGGTTTTGTGCCGAACTGCAGTGTGGGAAGGGTCTCTCTTCTTTCATTTGTTTTTTCGAGGTTGCACAGGAAAAGGGGTCAAAAACGTCCCTGTACAGCACACAACACAGACCCAGTCTCAAAGTGGCCAATACGAGTCCTTGCCTTGTCATTACTACTTGTGCCACTTGGCAAGCAACTTTTAAGCCTTACGAAGTGTTCATTCATTCATTTTAGCTCTTATGATTTTGAAATGGTTGCATCGTTTACTTCTGTCTAAAACTTTGTCAGGTGTATGTCTTTAGAGAGGTGTCCGCTTCACAGAAAGTTTAGGTGAACTGACAAAAGTAATCATAATATTATAGAGCATTTAAGAGATAAGATCTCCGCTGATGTTTGTCGCGTGGTTTTGAAAATCACAGCTATATGGCACCAGATATCACTTGGCGATCTTTTACTCGTAGCTAGCTCACGGAATTTTACTCCTGATATACGTGCCTTGCGCGGGAAGTGATTTAAACGAAATCTGAAGATCGTGTGAAAAGTTACCGCGTTTTAGAAGAAGTCTTTTCTTTTTTGAAGGATTTGAGGGAGTCATCTTGGTGGAGCGATTTTAATTATGACGGATTGTTAGTTGGCATGGCTGAAGAGGTAAGCAGATAACAAGTCACGGCTTTAGATATTCACACTATAAGTTATGGGTTACAGGCTTAAAGGCGAGTTATAACCAGCTTTTATATATACCTCACAATAACAAGTTATGTGTGAAAGTACTGCCAAAAAGATTTCATTAGAATGATCACACCATAGATTTTGGTCTACAGAGTCAAAGGCTAAAACTTGTAATAACCCAAGATTAGGGAGTGCGAGCGAGATCGTAGCGACAGAACGCACGTGCTCCAGCGCTGTGCTTTGTGGTAGAAGGTCAGCACGCGCGTGATCAAATTACGAGTGACAGAAGGTCCAAACAAGCGTGATTAGATTGCGTTCTATACATTCCAATCTTTCTTAGTGGAAATCCGTACTAAAGTCCTCTAAAATATGTGCCGCGCATGTGTAATAGCAACTTGGAAATTAGTATTGCGGTCTCTTCTAGTCGCCCGCACTCAGGGTATGTAGCCTAATAAACAATGCCTAGTGAAAGTACTCAAACCATAGGCTTTAGTCCACAAACAAAAGTTTTAGTTTTAAAGAACTCTGTGAGGGAAGAAAAGACGTCTCACTCACCTGATTTACAAACATTTTGTGTTGTTGCTTGGGAACTTTTTAACCATGAAGATTATTATTTGCCGCAGCATGGATGGATAGTGATATTCCGGCATGTTTTGCTATAGCGACAGACATATTCAACAAACTTCTTCATATGTAGTTCACTTTTGTCGGTTTTGACTTTTCGGGCAGCCAGTGTTTAGCGTCGGACCAGCCTCCCTAGGGTGGAAAGCAAAAAACGGCGTTAAAAGGCAAAGCGAAGCGAGCCGAACCGCTCGGCTCGCCTCGCTCCCCGATTTTTTGTTTTGCCTTTTTCCTCCACTGCGGAGCCTGGTCCCAGGCTACCTAGAGTTCGCCTTGGCCATTTTTCAGTACTTAGTGCCCATCTCAAAGGAGCTCGTCTTATAGAGAATTGACTTTATGTCACACTCTGAACAGTTATTGTCATGTCTTCTTTTGCTAGCTAAATGACGAGACACAAGAGGTTGTTCAGTGTTTACTGGCAGAGCTTAAACAAATTCGGTAATTTTGTCCTTTTTTACTTTTTGTTATGATATTTCTCTAACTGTTTTTTTTTTTAATATTATTATTTATATTTTTATGATATTTTTATTTTTGCAACTTGGGTAATCTTTAATGGCGTCTGTTGGCTCATTTTACAGTTCACCATTTTTTTCTTTACTGAAAATTGTTGTTGTATTTCTCCAAAGGGACGAAGAGAAATTATATATGACCCGCCTCCTTGAACTGGGTTTGGTGGAAACAGTTGACAAGAAACACTTAACTTCCGGGTCACCTTCAGGTAAATCTTACTCTCTCTCTTCTCCTTTTCCTCACTCCATGGGGAGTTGGAGCGCGTCTGGTTTAAAACAAGCTGCCCCATGGCTGGATATTTTGTCTTTTTCTCATCCTGTTGTCAAGCGGTGACTGTACTTATCGGTGGATGTGCAACTAAAGCTTCTCCCCGCCCCTAAGTTTCCTGTACTCCCAACCGGTAAGGTTCGTCACTGGTGAACATGTGAAATGGTTGTCCGGTTATTTCTGTTTCAGGGAAGAAAGGCAAAAAATCTCTTACAAGCTGGACTCAGGCTGACTCAAGTTGTGTACTTTACTGTGAAGAATGTGATCGAGTTTGTTATCTGTCAGCGGTGAGTTTGCCTTTTCCACCCACCCATCCACCCGCCTTCTATAGCAGTCAAACCTCTGAGGTGTTTTCGTTTTATTTGGTGCAATTTTAGTAATTAACTTCTACATGGAAACATGGGGAAAAATGTCTTCGACAATTAGTTATTGTAACTATCTTTTCGTTAGTTTTTTCTCTGATTTTAATGGCCTTTTTGTCGTTGCAAACGCTTCGCGCCTAACAAAGCTTATGTTAACAGTCACACAGTTTCACTTTTCAAACACTTAGACAATAAACGAAATGACCTGAAACCAGCGTACGGGGAAACACGGAGCTATAAGGGGCACCCGCTCTAGGGAGCTATTAAGTTGATTCAAACCGCTGCGGTCTCCCCAGGAATACTTTACTTTTCGTAGTTTAAGTTACCGCTGAATACATACACTAATGGCGCATTGGTCAGCGGTCATGGCAATGTCGAAAATTTTCTTTAGAGGCGTAAAATAAGACCCACGTTATATGTTTAAGTTCTTTGATCTGGGTCTCCAGAGAGTAGTCTCTGGTCTCAGTGTTTACCTTGAAATTCGCAATCTGTTATGAAATAATTCCATGAATTCTCTTAGAATTGAATCGTGAAAAATAAATTCTCGTCTCAAAAGGTCTCTAATTTTTAATATCGTAGCTTTCGACTGTATCGCACAGTCTTCATCAGCAGTGAACTCTCAGTGTTGTCACGTGAATTAGTGGCGTAATGTAAGTCATTAAAAATCGCGGGAAGTTCATAACCCCCATCTCTTTTTCGGACTGGGCGCTGGCGTCTGATATGGATGACCTTTTTAATTTTTCTTTCAATGTCCACCGTCTCCTGGTCAAGGATCCTGACCCCCCACCTTCCTCCCATAGCTTTGGACTGGTATTCTCAGTCTCTTTCCTAGAGCCCTAGCTGTGTCTCCTAAAATCTGAGACTGGAATTAATATTTTCAGATGTTATGAAATACTTTTAAATTAAACATTTTCACTCGGTCCTTGTTCTGCAGGTAATAGGTGAGAATGAACCGCAGGTACTGTGTCTCAAACACGCGGTTCAGTATATAACAGACAACGCCTCGCCAAAAGGCTTCAAAATTATGAGCAGATATGATACAGTAAGTGGCTGATGACTGAAAATAAATTAAATGATAATAATAATAATAATAAAAACCAGTAGACGCATCTGGCCTGTTTCCTCTAAGTTCCTTTCAAAAATGTCCGATGTTTCTGTGCCTTTCCTCGGTCAAGAGCTAACACCTGTGTCATCTGCCAAGGACCAAGGCGTCATGCGTGCCTTAAACTTGACTTTTAATGAGCACTTCTCCTCTCCTTCACTCCTCCCTTTTATCTACCCCTGATATCAAGTAAATAGAGTCCGGCATTTTTTTCTAGAGATGTATTGTACATAATCATTAACTTACTAGTCTTTAGTAAACTATTCTATTGTTCAACGGTATGGTCCGGGACTTCAAACGAGAATATTCACAAACTACAGCTGTTACCAAATTTTGCTGCCCGTATTTTAGCGAATATTAAAAACTTTGATCATATTTCACCTGTTCTGAATGGACTCGGTTGGCTCACCACTGATGAACTTGCGTGACGTAACTATGATTTATAGATTCATTAACGGTCCAGCTCTAACCTATTTAAGTGCTAGTCTTTTCAAACGTTCTGAAACCCATTCATGTAACACCAGAAACAAAGACCTCCTCAGTTTTCCTATGTGTAGGACGTCAGCATCATCATCAGCATCAGCTTCTATTATAGAGCACGTAATAATCTCTCTGTTGCTATTAGGAACTCGCACTCAGTTTCACAGTTCAAGAGGAGTGTGAAAAGAAAAATGTTGCGAACAAAACATGAAGTTTGGCTGGATTTAGTGATGATTTTTAGTTATACTTACCTTAATGTGAATAAGTTATTTGTATTGTGTCTTTTAATAAAAATGTAATTAGATATATGTTAAATTATATGCATCTATTTTTTTTGTACTTGATGTAAATTAATTCTCAAAAGCCCCATTGGTAGAATTAATAAATTGTATTGTATGGTAAGTTGGTTTGTTCTGGTGGACAATGATTTATTTTGTTGCTGTGTTTATTATTATCACCATCATCATCATCATCGTCATCATCATCATCACCATTATTATTATTATTATTATTATTATTATTATTATTATTTTATATATATTTATTTATTTTATGTCATTTTCTTTCAGGATCAACTAGATGAACTCGTTAATAAGGTCGAGGACAAGCTAAAGAACCTTGATCCCTGATCCCAAGGTCAAGGAGGTGGAGGAGAGAATCGGACAGCGACGTATTGGGTATCAGATCCTGCTGTTTCTTCTAAGGGTTGCCCAAACGAATCCGAGGGATTATTTTTGTTTACCTTGTTGTGTTTGTCTTCCCGTCCCTCACATGGACAGTCTTTCGCTTCGCCGTTATTTACGAACAAGAAAGTTATTGTCCCCTTTGTTTTGATGGCGTCTACGCGAGAAATGGAAAGTATTGTGAAATTGTTGCCAATCTCGAGAAGATACGCGCGTCCCTTTCTTTCCCGCCCACCGTCCAAGTTTCCGTCCTCTTTTCTTTTTATTCGTACGTGAACGCGGACTGTACGATTTTGTCCTGTCCCTTGAGATGCTTCCCAAAAAAGATAGCAACAAGAAAGTGAATCTAAAAAAACGGTCTTCTCGATTCCCTTTTTCATCGCTGCACAAATTGTACAGTTTAGCCTGGGAAAAAGTGAGTAAATAAACAGGCATATGTCTCTCGTTTGTGTGCGGTGAAACCGAGGAAGATCTTGCTCTTCCACAGCTTTCTCCTGATTTTATATTCTGTGCCCAATTTTTTCTCACTCTGCCCTTTTGAGTTGTTTAGTGGTCTTGTTCATAGTTCAGTTGGTAAGGAATACGCTTCTACAGTTTTTGGTTGGTGTTTTGTTCTGTGTAGAGGCAGATACACACATACGATGAAAATAAGAGTTTTTATCCGTATCTATTAGTTTGGCGATCGTATTTTACCTCATTCAATAGGAATACGCGCTTACAATGTAAGATTAAAGAACGTTCACATTGGGTAATACATCTTATGTACTGTTTAAAAAACGAGCAGGAGTTTATTATCAGGTTTAAAAACTCGAGGCGAAGCCGTGTGTTTTTACACCTGATAATACAAGACTGCGAGTTTTTTGAACGGCTTCAAAATCTCTGATATAGATCAACTCATTCTTGCACTGATATTTAGATTTGGGGTTATTTTGGTCTAAGAATTTGGACGTTAAGTTTAGCCGTGTCTTCATCAGATGTAACGACACTCATTAAACATTAAGTTCTTTTGTTCTTCTGTATGAATTTTGAACTGACAGTAAAAACGAAATATTATGGATAGCTTATAAATATATAAATTGACAGTAAAATACATTATATATATATACACATGTAGGTAAAAAAGACAATTAAATAAATTGTTATATTTTTGGCAATTGCCCTACTTTCCTGATGGAATCACTAAAAGCTGGTACTAAATACTGGTTTTCCTAAATATGAAACTTTCACAGCAATGAATGCCACAAATTACAACTGAAGAGCAAAAATCGAATTTTTTTTCATTATCCTGCAGCTTTTAATGTCGAGTTTCGATCTCGTCGTGGGTGGGGTCCTTAAGTCGCTAATCGCTTGGTTGTACACACGCAGAGACAACGAATAAACATAGTAAACGTGTGAAACCCTCCTACAGGGAACATTTTGACATTTTAACATGTCATTTTGACACGATAAACGTTTTTTTTTCTGAAGTGGATGGATTGAGGTATTTGAAAAGACGCTTACAGGCTCTGCCCTTCGCTCTTCCCGCCTTTTTTTGCTTTTCCACCGCTCGCTCGCCTGCCTTTTTAGCTGGTCTGCACTGACCGAGAGCCTGGTACAGAGTATTTGCAGGAAAGTTTCTACATCCGACTGAGAGGGAAGGCCTTTGGGTTGAAAATGTCATTGAATAGCGCGTGTTTGAAGCCAAAATGGTGAGTAAGTGTCTCGTTACAATGGAGAAAAAACTGGCCGTGTCGCGTTAGCTGATAATGTGAACTACGAACCTCGTTTTTGTAAGAACTAGTGGATCTGATGGAGAATTTGAGGCCAAACATTTTGTTTGTATCCAAAAAGCGTGCCTAGAGCCTCTCTAGCATGATGCGTAACGTTTAAAACGAAGAGAAGAAAATCAGGTTTTTCAAATCAAGTACCTGACTAAAGTGCTTACAGTCATGTCTCAGTTCTAAAGGTTGATTTCCACTGACGCGTTTTTGGCTACGCACGACAACGCACGTAAATTTTTATCACGTAAATAAAATAGGGGCAAGATATAAAATGTTGAAATTAAACGTGAAGTTGAGCGAGGTTCTACTTTTACGCTTACGAGCGACCTTTTATACATTGCCTCTATTTATTTGCGAACCTTAATTTTACGCACGTATGCAGGGAAAAGTTACGCGACAGTGGAAATCAACCCTTAGTGAAAAGATAGCAAAAATTATTTACTTAACCATGAACACATGACGAATCTCATAGTCACGTGTCGGAATCTGGCGAAAAGACTACTTCATGTAAACATAGTCGATACTTCGTGTGCGAAGATGACTGTTTCTACAACATGCCACACAAAAACTGTGCTTTGGCGGAATGACGGTGCGTGACTTGTGATTACTCCTCCACCGTCAGTACTGACCAAACTTTGGGATTTGAGTCGGTGTGACCCAATGACAAGCCAAGATGTTTGGAAATTAGAATTAGTAATTCTAATTTCCAAACATCTTTCCTTTTAAAGGGGCTAGTGTGACAAGGATATTGCTGTTTTAATTAGGTCAATTCTGTGTCAAAGTCAATACTCTGTGCCTTTACTCCAGACACAAAATGCTCCTGGACAGGTATGGAGAAGATACCACACAAATCTCATTAGGGAACAATAACCACAATGTTTTGATGAATTTTGCAGGCATAGCATGGAAGCTTGAAAAAGTTAACCCAACTTTTTCAAGTTTCAATCCACATCCATTCTTGCCATCCGTTGGAACAGACGACAGGAAACAATTTCAGTGCCGTAATATAGTCTTAAACTAGTAATAACCAAAGGTTAAGGAGTGCAGGCGATAACGATCGGAGGTCCAAACGTTTTTGCTCCAACGGTGTGCTATGCGTAAGTTTCACTTGACAGATGGTCAAAACACGCGTGTTGAGATTACGAGGGGTAAAAGGTCGAAACGCGAGTGATCAAATTGCGTTTTGTGCATACCATTTATTCTTAGTGGAAGTCCAGCGGAAATGCTACCTTCAGTACATGCGACGCATGCGTAATAACAACCTGGAGATTAGGATTGCGGGCTCCTCTTGTCGCCCGCAATAAGAAAACTGGACCACTTTTTTTAGAATTCAAGTGGTGCTAAAAACGTTTTAGCTCAGTTTGAAAAGAATAGTAAATAGTGCGACATAGCTCCTTGAAAATGAAGCCAAAGATCAGACTGCATCATTATTGTTACAGACTACGCACTTAGTCTCGTTGTGAAAAAAGGGCAATATCCAAACTGGGAAAGGGGCAGATCTAGGGGTAGGGTAAAACTGGTATTGGCTGCAAAGAAAAAAAAAACTTTGTGATTTATTGGTGTTGAAGTGAAACATGAAAGGAAGTTGAAGAATTCATTTTAAACGCGACCATAAAAATGGTAGTTAAAATGTAAGTTCCTTAGTGGTGCACGCCCTCCTAAGAACAATCCTGGATTCGCGGATATGTCCAGGATCGGTCTTGTTAGCAACAATTTGCTAGCAATTTTCTTTCGCAGTTGTCACAAAAGAAATAATTGAGAAAAAATTATGTAAGAAAATCACTTACAAATGTCGCAAAAATCGCGAGAATAACAAATGTAACAAGATTCAAGACTTAGAAAGAGAAAAGGCCAAGAAGCGCTCCGAAATGTCCGCAAATGTCGCAACAATCGCAAAAGTAACTTTGGCGATTTTTGCGAAATTTGGTATTTTTTCTATACTTTTCTGATAGCAGTTTTTGCTAAAATTGCGAAAACAATTTGATTGGAAATTTTTGCTAAAAATATCGATCCTGGACATAAGTCTGGGGCACCCAACGTCAATTTTCAGAAAATATCTGTTGGGAAGACGATTTGAGATCTAGAATTTTTGGAACATTTGCTGTAAAATTTCTTGCTTACCTGCCTCTCCTAGAATTTTCGACCATCTAAAAAATGGTATAATTGCCCATTTTTAAGGGATTTTTACCCTAAAAAGGTCACCTAGAATTTTCGGGAGCCTTTTTTCTGGCTGAAATTTTCGAAAAGCTAACTTTTGATCCCTATAATTTTCGGATCACTAGACTTTCAGCTAGGAAATCCGAACAGATGAAAAAATTTAAGGGGATCAAAATATGCTTATATCTACCGTTTAAAAACTAAAATACGTTCTACAATGCTATGTTTGAGTAGTTTTAAACTACATTCTCGTTGGTGCCCCTGATAAGTGGGATTCGCCTCTGTCAAAAATGGCTTACTACGTTATCGTACAAAAACCTGCCACGTATCACCCAACGACAGGCTACCACCGTCCCCATCGCAGTCATATTCACCGGCGGCATCACTAGCAAACCGAACACGTATTGTGTTTCTCCATACGGCAGGCTTGTCAAAAAGGCGAAGGTCACTAAGGTGTAATGTGTGACCCCATGTATCATAACTGGGGAAACCCCATTTGTCGCATCTCGCCGCTAAGGTAGAGTTGTCGTCAGCAAGCCGCGTAAAAGAGCCACAAGCTTCGGCCTGGTTATCAGAGGAGGTAAAAAACGTGAGCACGGCACTTCCTTTAGCATCGTTGTTAGTCATAATGTGAAACACTCGACCTGTTGTCTTCTTGAAACAATAGAACCGTATCTGAGTAAAACCCGTATCTTGTTTCAACTGACTGAAGCCATTCCTGAGCAAGAATTGTTTGTTAGAGTTAAAATTGGGGAGGATTGTTCTGTAAGAATTTGACTCGACTCTATTATCAAGGAACGAATCCTGTGCTTTCATGACAAAACGGGATACGAGAAGCCATCCACCTGAAATATTAACAAAAAAATGGGGAAAAATTAGCTAGCAACTCTCTTGTAGAAACGTATCAATCGATTGATACCCCGGCCCTTGATTCCCGTGTTAGAACACATTTAAAGATGACAGCGTCGGCAACGAGAACGGCAAAAAAGAAACAGGTTTAGATTAGCAAAACAACAACTTTACGCGTACATCACCCTTTTTATTGTACAATTCGTAGCCGTCGTTGCACGACTACGACGTGAAAGTGCCTAATTTCACGTTTTGTCGAGGACGGGAACACAAGACAACAACTTTGCCAACAATTGACGAATTAAACGAGATGGAACAATCGTGAATTCGGGGACTTTTTAAATTTTGGATTTTCGTCTCGCTTAGGGTGTTCGGGCAAAGCGCCAATATTTTGAGGTCTCGTTTTTCGAAGAAACCGTCGCCGTCGTTATCAATAAAACTCATTGCATGTCGTATTTTGTGTGTTTTAAGCGGTCTCTTTAAGGGGTCAAAATTTCCTTAAGCCACCCTAATTACGGTTTACGTCAAAATTTCCGACGAGCATCCCTGTCGTCGGGTTTTAAGTGAGGTTTTCGAAGCCGTCGCCGTCGTTGTTGCTTAAGCTCCCTAAATACGGTTTACGTTTCGTCTAGCTCCGGCCTATGAGTACTGATCAGTACTTGAGAACCAGGGGCGGATCTAGGGGGAGGGTGCAGGGGGTGCGCCCCCCCCCCCCCCCCTGAGATGACTTGCGGTTTTCTAATACAACTGGTATTCTGCAAAAAAAAAAACTATGTGGTTTATTGGAAGAGACGAGTGCACCCCCTCCTAAAAAAAATCCTGGATCCGCCCCTGAGAACAGCAACAACTTTATTTGAACCACATACAAGAAAAAAAAGACGGAAAGGAGAAGGAGGACAACACTACATAAGTAAAGCATAAAGTCACCTAGAATATAACCAAAAAATTAATCTGGCGAGAAGGCCTGATAAAAATATTTTTCAAAACAATGAAAGTATTTGTTAGTTGGAGGCACGATCATAAATGTTTGTGGAAAAAATGCGCACACGCACACGTACACATTTAAGTCATTCTCCAAAGATCAGCTCTTACCTCCGGCAGTAGTCATGTCACAAAAGACTATGAAGGGGTCCCCTGAGACTGCAGGGTCCATCCAGTACTTTCCATCCCCCTGAGCGTCACCGCTTATCAGAATGTCTTTGCAGGAGGAGCCTGGCGTCAAGGATGTTGAACCTTTCTTAGCTAAGGAAATCCATCAAAAAAAATTCATAATAATAATAATAATAATAATAATAATAATAATAATGAAGGATTGACGGTCATAGAAAAGTCAAATATCATTTTTTCTTTAATTCTCTTTAAATCTGAGTAACCTAGTTTTTCAGCTAGAAGAATGATTTTACTAAACCAGTGAAACAGAAGCTAACAACTACTGCAAAATAGCTACTAGTAAACAAAAGAAGACGATAGAATTAGTGCATAATAGTGCGTGGTATTCTACTACCTATTTCAGTCTATAATTTACATTACCTCGGAAATAGTTTTCAATATAAGTAGCAGATGGATTTTTCACGAAGTCTGCTGGCCTCGAGGCCTTTGTCTCTCTGTTCATTTTGCAGTCCTTAGTGTTCCAGAAGAACGTCGCGCTTTCGCACCTTTCGTCAGAGCTACACAAGAAGAAGCAACGACCAACGTTGTCAGCGTAAGAACTTTTGTAGTCATGCCCAACTAAGGCGAAACCGAACTCATCCCTGTTGCCTCGGCAAACCTCACCACGATGCTGATCTGAAGATACTGCTGCGGAATGGACCATGAAAATAAAGATAGCTTCCCATAACACTGGCATTGCCTTTGTCGTAGCCTGAAACACCCTGGAAAGATGCCACATGATAATTATAGCGTTAATCCTACTTGGTAACAAGTAAATGAATATAGACGTGTTTGGACTGACACAGCCTACAAACTTGAATACGATTGTGAGTAATACAACAAATTGCTTGCCCAAAATGGCTGCCAAAATGTCAGATTCACAGAAAAAGTCTTGGAGTGAAGCGAAATTGTTAATTATAATATAACAAAAGCTTCCTGCGTTGTTTTTAGGGTGTCATTTCATTCGTTTATATTTTAACCGTACAGATGACAACCTTATATTTTGTTAACATGCATGGTGCGAGGGTGCGAGCTGTATGCGCCGGTCTAACATTAACATATATCAGGTTCACAAACTCCGCCAAGTTTTTCTAGGGCAAAGAACGGAAACACGCGAAAACAAGAGTAGGTGGTGAGCAATCCAACCCGCAAAATTCAGAGAGCCTGTTTTTCAAAATTAACATCCCATCTCTGCAAAAATTGAAAATCTGCATTTACTGAAGGGTGTGCTGCACCTGCGGTACCTATAAATGACGACACAACAGACGCCCCACTAACTAACTAACCTAACCTCTAGCTAAAGTAAGTGAAATCCATGCGTATATGAAGAAAACAATTATTTTTTTTAATCGTCATGAAAACCGATTTCTAATCATTAGCAATGGAAAGATTAAAAATTTATAACTTCTGTATTGATTTCTCTCCAGCGCACATGGGAAAATATATCCTATTAGCATCGAAGGGTTAGATGCAATTAACCAACATAATAAAGGACAGGCGAGTTTATTTGTGTTGCAAATTATTATTAGTTTCTTTCAGATTCAGTTTACTTTTTCTCAGTTGTTTTAATTGCTGTAGGGTATTAACTTTTGGGGGGGCGGGGAAGTTGACTTCTAAATAGAGCTATGAAAGGCCGAAAATATTCAACCCTTGTACAAGATAACAACAGACTGTTTATTATTTTTTCTTTTCTTAAGTACGGGTAAATCTGCGAGTAAGTCCGTCAATGAATGATGCCGTAGGGTTCCGTGTTTTACAGAGAGAATGGGTGGTAATCACACATCGTTGTATTGTTTTACGTGTTTTCATCTTATTTTTTTTGACACATTGTTATAATAAGTCAGATTACGAGTAATTGGATTCATATTCATTTCCAAGGCGAACTTGGTCGATTACTGAAAACAACGTTTCAAGAAAGAAAAACCAAATGTCATTTGCTAATGGAAATACGTTACGTTCACCGTACTTGTCAAATGTATTTACCAATAGGATACATCTTTCAACAGGTTTTTCAATTAGTTACATACATTTTGTCAAAATAAAGTTTAAAAAATCGGAAATCGAAAAATCATATTGGTCATGAAGGTACTCTAATCAACTACCCCAAAAATATTCCGTCTAAGATGTTCCTGGACTATGCTTACTGCAGCTGACGGCAAAAATATTTATTTAGTTGGTGGTGGAACTTTGGGACACGGGAATCAGCAGCTGGAAAATGGTTCTAAAGCACTTTCGTAGTTGACAGAAAACAATGGGGAAAAAAATTCAGAGTCAACTCCCCCGCCCTCTTAACATCAAGCACAGTTCATTAAACGGATTTTAAATTTTTAACAACTGAAGCTTTCACAGGATTTTTTTCATACTACTGAAGTCAAGGTTACTTTTTTTTTTCCCTTCCTCTTCGTTTTCTTCTAATTATTGCAGGCTTTTGAAAAATAGACTAAAAATTTGCTTTTACTAATACTGCACCCAAAGCAGACCCCTGCATGTTTAGGCAGATTATGACAAATTGTAACACCCCTAATAATGTATCAGAAACAAAGTGAATACTAACCGTGGCAAAACCAATTTCGTGGTGGAACTGTGTCCTCTGCCATCCCCACGTGTGAGCAAGGAACCACTTGACCGTGCATCCTTTGTCACCGTCTCACCACACCATTGACCTTATCATTCTGTTTGCCACATGGCCAGTATGGTGAACTTGCAACTCTGAACCCAGTCTTCTAAAAGAAGTCGCGAATTATGAGTGAAATCCCCACCAATCCCCCCGCTCAGCCCCCGCATTCAATATAGCAAAGCCGTGAAAAAAGGTGTATTCCCTGACTACCGGGGAACCTAAATCGAGTTAAAAACGACGTGAAAACCCCCGGTTTGCCCCGGGTATTTCTCAATGGGTGGGGGAGGGGGGGCCGCTGCGGGGGTTTGAAATGACTGGTGCATAACTGGGAGACAGGAGAGTACGATGTTCGTTCAAAGTAGCATAGAACTGGTCACTGCTAAAGGTAGCAATGTGAAGAGGAGAGGTTCTGCTTTCATACATACTTAAGTATTTTCGGGATTTGGGAGATCAGAAAATTCAGGTAGGCAGGGATTTAAAATGGGAAGATCATTGTTTACTTCAGTAAAGTTAACCGATGTGACAATTCATTTCAGGGTGACCTAGTTAAAAGGTTTTATTAGTAAGATGCATAAAAAGAAAGTTACTTAGTTGGGATCGCAAAAATTATATCTTCCCAAAGGTGGCTAAGATGGGGTCTATATTTGGCCACAGGATAGACTAGCACTATTTAACAATTATATTCCTAGAGCCCGAATGGGCTCTGAGTCAATAGACCATGAGGCCGAAGGTAAAAAAGCCAACTAGTTGGTCAAAAATATCGAGAACAAAAAATTTTTAGCTAGTTAAAGCTAGACTTTAATTCTTTTTTGCCCCCCAAAAGCCCGCGCTTTTCGCTACTACTGGGCTATAACATATTACCTAGCGGTAGCTCAACCAATCAGGACGCAGCATTGATCATGATAATAGACCACTAGTTGGATTTTACTAAAGTGGGGTAGGGGTCTGAGAGGGCAGCAGCACATATACCCAGCAAAAATTAACCCAAGTAATCCCCGCGGGATGCTATGCCAGTTAAATATAAAAAGAGAGAATGGAAGCATCTTTTATCCTCCGGCTTGATTTAAACCATTTCCTTACAGGGAAAATAAGAATGCCAGAGAATTTACGCTTTGAACGACAACTGGCACGTGCAAGGTTTTTGACGTTCAGATTAGGTTGACGCAAAGACGCAGAAGAGAACACTCTTTCACTCGATCCACTTTCTGTTTTCCATGGGTGCTACAGACTGTTCTCATATTCCAACAGTCTGCTCGATGTTTGCCTTGATAAAGCCATCAGGTCTTTTATTGGACGAAACTGAGCTATAACCTTAACGTCACCATGAGAATTGTAAATTCTACAATTTGATATGGAAAATGGCCAATTTCAAATAATTTTGTAACGCCCATTAAACACTATGAACATTCAAAACTGTACACAGGTGGATCACAGCTTCTAACAGGTTGAGTCACAGCCTCATCGACATATTATACAGTTACGAGCTTCCAGAACAGTTAACGCCTCAACAGTTAACCGTGAACAAATTGAGAGGCTCACTGAATTCCTCAAGGCTAAGATTACGTTGGCTTTTATATTTTTATTAGCGAATGCAAATTAAAGTAACTATAACAAACTCCTCCCTTCACACCGGTGGAAAAGTTACGACGTGTTTTATTTATGTTTGTGGAAATAAATTTAGATTAACTAATGTACTAGTCTCCCTCGCAGCCGTTTTTTGGATGTCACGCAACACTCCCCCAGCGTTGCGTGACATCCAAAAGACGGCTGCGAGGGAGGCTACTAATGTACTGGTAACAAATACCCGCGTACTGGCGGCCAGTGAGATAGGTAAATGTGGGGAAGGGGGGAAGGGCTAAAATCAGTTTGCTTAGAGCAAATGGGGGGAATCCTGCAGTGCTTTTTGATTGGCTTAAATTTCCCGGATAATCTTTTATAGCTCCATGGCTAGCTATAACAGCTTGAGTTGGCCGAATAGGCCACTTGCACGAAGAGGTCACGTGACCAATGCTTCCTCTAAACAATGAGTTGGAATCTTGCTGATGCCAAAAATCGACAGAGCACATAAAAACTATCTTACACCCGAAATTTGAGATGGAACGCATTTGAGGGAGATGTTTTATGGCACTTTGATTTTTTAACAAAGTAGTATGATTTGTATTGGCCGCCATGTTGGAGGGCATACTCTTGCCGTCCAACATGGCGGCCAAAACTACTTTTTGCTTATATCTTGCTAAACGTTTGATAGTTACGCTGAGATGTGGTGTAAACGTTACCACATCATCTTTTCAACATTTTCCTCGAAGTTTATGTGCAAAATTTGTGTTCAGAAAAAGGTAATTCATAATTTTAAAAATCACATTTTGGTCACGTGACCATCTACGAACTTACTCATTTTAAGAAAATGGTGCGGGTTTGAAAAACCAAATCACTATTATTTTGTTTAAGATATGACCCACTAGGCGTTTTTTCGAGAGCAAAATCATATAATTTTCATTTTCATAAAAACGATGTCGCATGAACTCTTAGTGCAAATGGCCTATTAGGAAGGTGTTTGCCAATATCAATACAATCGACGGGTATGAAACGGATAACGAGCAAAAAAGCCGGAACTCTTTACCAAGGAAGCAGCGAAGCCAATGGTTTCACCTAATCTGCACGCCTTTTAAAATCCGGAAGAGGTTTTCCAGCTGAGAACTTTCACAAGCGGAAGCCAAAACTCTTTAATTTTATCTGCCAAAATTCCATAACTTAAAATAATAACTGAATGGCTTCAGTTCTTTGTAGCCTCCAATTATTAAAAGTTTGTAATTCCTCCACGTTAACTTAAAAGTTTCATGGTAATCGCGCGAGAATAGGCAAAGTAAGATAATTGAAATCATCCGATTCATTATACCTTGCCCCAAACGCAAACGGCCTGTTCCTTTTCTTTTTTTTGTCAAATCTAGGAATTAATGCAAAACGCGGTTCAGATATTTATCAATTATATTTTTTCAAAAACATTTTTGACAAAGGTTTTTCAATTAAGAACATTGCAAAATTCCTTCAAGCTTGTTTAATTTATCTATTGCAGACCGAAG